GTAACTGCGCCACAGTTTCATCGTAATGAAACACATGGGGACATTGTTCCGAAAAGATCCGTTGGAAGTATGATTTCTGTGACTTTCGGTGTGATTTGGAATAGGCTTTTTGGCTGCTTGCATTTCTTAGTGTGATTTCTATGGAAATGTAGTAGAATTGATGTCTGTAGTGTGCTCACTATCGATCGGAGGGGTTTATGCATGTATTTTTCTTTTTGTTCAGAATTACGGCCGTAATATGGCGCATACCAAAACGTTAAAATACGGCCCATATACGGCCGTATCTAGTCGTCGTAATGCTCGACCTGGGGATATTCAAATGGAGCCAGTATAATCACTGTTACAGACCTACCCTGACATATTATTATGCCACTCATTTTCTTCTTCTATCTAATCATCCACCATATATATCATCATATATATAAATGTATAAATATATATGCTGTCTTCTCAACGGAGGAGAGAAAGCGAGATATGTGTATGTATACAACATGTTGTTGTTTGCTTTGTTGTTAGTTATCGATTTTAGTAATACACGAAGGGAGAACATCAACCCCTAATAATCACGAATAGACCATTGCCCATTTTTGATTTATTTTAAAAAAGAAATTTTCATGAAAATTAGATTGTCATGTCTCATTATACAATCATTTTTAAAATTAAAAGAAAAAAATAATAAAACAGTAATAGTATGATGGCATATAAGTTACATCAATCAATCTTGAGTGCTTGATATGTCAAGTAGTGTAATTGGAAGCTGAATCAGATTAAGTTGATTATCAATTGTAACATTAATAAAACCTGATAAAGACAAATGAATGCTACCTGCTAATAGAGGAGCCAAAAGTGAAATCATGGTTGTTAATTTAGCTGTAATTCTAACATCTATATTAGGCGTGACGATTTCTTCATAAGGACCAATGATAATATTTGAATTATCAGCGACAATGCCAACTTGCACTTCTTCATTGACTACAACACTATAATCTGCTCCAGAGACCCGCGGTATGCGGTATCAATACCGTACCGTATCGTACCGTACCGTGGAGAAACGAGACGGTATTGAAAAAAAAAGAAGTAGGACTATTGTTTGGTAATAGACCACGTAATTCTACATCACTATCCAAGCCAGAGACCATACGTGAAATAAATTGTTCGGCTAAGGCAGAATTTTGTTGAGTTATGATAAAACTTCCCTTTGCATTGAGTAGTGTACTATTCTCTTTTGTTTCAAGATAAAATGGATCGATTATAACTAAACCAAGTGATATTCCACTTGTTAGTTCACATAAATCAAGTGAAAGACTACCACCATTAATTATATAAACAACAGAAGGATTATTGATTTTAGTTTTTACATTAAGAGAAAGTTCATGAGATGATAACGCTTGAGTTATATCAATTTCATCGATATTAAGAAGACCATTATCAAATTGATTATAACCAACAAGATGAAGAGTATCGTTAACAGGAATATCAGTTAAAGTAACATTTCCTATTCGAATTTCAGCCTGTGCTGCAGCTAAACCTTCAATCATAACCGATACATTATTTGTTAGAACAAGATTAGCAGCAAATTCTTGAAAAGTTCTTTCATCAAGAACGACTAATTCTTGTTTCTCAAAAGTCATTAAAAGTTCATTAGTTATTTGATTATGTTCAACAGGTATATCATGAAGAATCATTTGGCCCATATTTGCTACATCATTAAAGCGCATCATGTAATCAATACTTGTTGTTAATGCTTTAAATTTCATATTGACATTTGATGGTAATTCAAATAAAACAGATAGTTGACCAGTAATATAAACTTTATTGATAAGATTTGGATCAAATTCAATACCAAAATTAAGAACTTCAACTCGTCGAATTAATTGTGTTTCTATACCGTTAAGATCTGCTTTCATTGATAGATCACTTATTGTTAAATCAATAGCAGTAGTAGTTTCATCAATAATAGCTGATTCATGAAAAAGTTTTACCGATTGTGTTTGACCATTGAGATAAGAAGAAAAAAATTTACCAACATCAGGCAAAGCTTGTTCATTTAATGGTGCAAGTAATCTAAAACAAAAATCATAAAAAAAATCATTGAAATAATCTGGAATGGAAAAAATACAAAACAAAACATGAACTTACCCATTAAGTGTCATGTTATTGCTTCCTGGTTTCAGAGATAATACATCGATAGGTACTCGGCCAAGAACTGTTCCACTTATACCATCAGCCATATAAAGTGTAAAATTTTGTAGAAGAACATCAGTTACACCGGGGTTTCCAATTTTCACATTGAAAGAAAGTTGAAGAGCGTTGTCTGCTTCACCATTGACAAAAATATCATAAACTTGAACATCATTAAGACCTGAAAGACCAACTAATGATACACTATTATTGACAACTATTCCATTAATATTCAATGGACCAAGAGCAAAGGAACCAGTAATCGATGCCAAACCAACAATACGAAAATTAATTGGATTAAGCTCATTAGCATTGATGAAATTTTGAGCAAATTTTTCATAAACTTTACCCGTATCGCTAAGTATTAAACTTTTATCATAAAATTGTGTTTCATATCTGGTTTTATCGAGTGGTTTAACTGGTATTTGAGAAATATCAAGTTTACCAACAGGATTATTTTCATAGAAAAGAAAAACACTCATATCCATTGATTCAATGTTTAGTGGAGATTCATCTCCAAGTGGTGAATTAATTTCAATAGTAATAGAAGCTGAGAGTGTTACTTTTCTCTCATCCGTCGATGGAACAAGAGACATAGATGTAAATATTAATGAAGAAATAAGTTGTTCATCAAATGGAGGCATTTGAACGCCCAATATGAGACCTTCCATACCAGCTGCTAGTAAAGAATATGAAGTTGCATTTGGACCAGCTAGTGCTTCGACTTGACTTGTTTTTCCAGTAAGAAAATTTTGTATAACATTAGAAAGTGCACTATACGATGCGGAAGAATCCGATTTTAGCTCACCAGAAAATGGAATTGCATTTACACCTGAACGAAGAGTTGTATTTTTGTCTATAGTTTCAACATAACCAATAGACAAGCTATTATAGCGAAGTGAGAATTTTAATTCACCTGAGAAAAAAAATGATCAAAGGAAATTTAGTTATTCTGATGAAACTAATACTAACCAAGATCAATATTAAATAATGATGGATTTGGAATTTCAATAACGATATCAGCAAATATTCGTTCTTTGTCTGATCGACGAAGATTTATTGATTTAATTTTTACATTCTGAAGACTATTTAAAGCATTGAGTTTTACTTTTTTATCGAACGGAATATTCGAATATACAGGCATCCCACCCGAAATAGGTTGTACAGATGCTTTTGCTGTTAGATGCCATATAACATGTGGTTCAAAAATAAGAGAACGAGTAAATCTGTGAAAAGCTGCTAAATTAGAAACATTAAACGGTGAATCAATTGGAACTATAGTAGGACGATTAGGATCACCAACAATACTAATCGTGTCATCATTTCTTACAGTTCCAACATTATCAACATTGATAATAAGTGGTGGTAGTATTTTAGCAGGAATTGAACCGGTACGTGATAATTCAAGTTGAGCTCGTAGACGAAAACCATTATTTCCAATGTCTCCAATATTAACTGAACGAAATGATAATTCAGCTTTTTCAATAGTTGACTTAACAATGGCTGGAACGATTGCATAAAATACAATTATTATTACAATTCCAATAAGCAATAAGGAAATAGCAGTGCATAATGAAATAAATCGATTACGACGTACTCGAAAGCCTTTAAATCGACCACACATTGTACAAATTGTTATTATTTTTGACGATGATTGTTCCTTTTTACTGGAAGATGATTCACGTGACACAGATTTCAAATGAATTTCATTATCGTGTTCAATTGATGCTTTCTCGGCGGATTTAACAAAAACTACGGAATGGTTGGAGCTGGGAGACACTCTTACCTTCATGTTAAAGTTTGTATCTGAAGAAAAGTTAAGAAATTCAATATGAAATGCTTACTTCTATATAGTAAACTTTTAATTTATGAAACTTTACATTTTATAAAGTTATACAATCGTATATCTGCTTCAATATATATATGCTGAAAGTTGACTTTGTTTTACATTTCTTAAATTATTTTCATCTTCACTGATGTCGAGCTCCTTTGAAATTGTTGATAGAACTTTACATAAGATGTTGGCATTTTAAAGAATGGTTTGCTTTGTTTTCAGGTAGATAAGCAATATCGATAACGGGGTTGATTTACTATCTTCACATCAGAATTGCGAATGGGCCTATATGATAAGATACATTAGAATATATTTTCACGGGGGTAAAGTATAGTATATGGGGTTGAACATAATTAAATTTACTTCCTCTTCTATAAGAATAGAAGAGAAGATAAGAGAAAGAAATGTTGTACATGAGTAATCTATATGACTATCAATGCAATGTCCTTTTAGTTAAATTTTTCAGATAAGAAAAATCATATGAAGAGAATATTATGTCTTTTAGTTGATTTGCTAGACTAAATCGGGCTAAAAATTTTAATTAAAGCAATCGAAATAGATTTTAACGCAAAATTTTTGTTAGATATACGATTGTTTCATCGGCACTCTAATACATTGAATTCACAGCCGATATTTATTGTTGAAAAAGAATGATGTATGTATTTATTAGATTTCTTTTTACACGTTTGATTAAATCTATTTCTAGTTCACATTTTAGTATCATCATAATCGATAAATATACATTTATATGATTAATTGAGATGTTGATATCATACAGTGTTGCAATAGATTGTGAAAAATATTCATCATGATGAAATGACGTCTTTGTTTTTTTTTATGTTGTTATCATTTATTAAGTTATGAAAGTCCTTGAATAAATCAGTTAGTTTTGTTATTGATCTAACTGCACGATATATGACTTATAATGTTTTGTAGTACAAAGTTGTCATTGTTCTCTCTCCTTCTCTTCTTTCCTCTCTTCTTCTCTTTGTTGTAGTTAATATACAGTAAAACCTCCCTATAGTGAATACCAACGGGACCGTTCAAAAAGTGTTCATTATATAATTACAAAATCTTCTGATACCAAAAGTAAAAGATTCCTCAATCAAGCAGACAAAAAATGAGACCAATAGAAAATACTATCTAAAAACAATAAATCTTCATAATAGCTGCTTTTGAATTCATTTGTAAATTATTGAAATATCAAACTTGAACTTTTCTTAGTATCTATATGTACTTTTGAATATTTGCAATAGATTCCGTAAAACAGCTTAATACTATCGTTTCAAATTGAATATCACACGATTTTTATTTCTATTTTTTAATACATAGTTTGAAACATTGATTATAATTAATTAAATTTTTATCAGCATTGAAATCCAATGGACTTACTTGTTTTTTTAATGGAAATCAAAGATTCGATCAGAAAATCGAATAATGTTCAATTGATTGAAGTAAAGAAAACGCACACATGGAAAGACTATCCTAGTACACCTATCTTTTTGAAATACTTTGTAACTTAGAGCCAAAATAGATCAGTATTTGTCTTTGAAAATTCATAAAAAATCCTTTCAATATTTTAAACAAATAAATGTTCTTTCTGAATTCTCTAAAGTGCCTATTGATATTGATATAAGTTTAATTTGCTTTCAAATAAAGAGCTTCTACATAATCTCCAAATAGTTTTCAAAGCATGTATCATTTTTATTTTTATTTTCATCATTATTTACTTTGACATACAGGCCACAGAAAGGGGAAGAAATATTTTAAGAAGCGAGAAAAGACAGACACTAAGGGATAGAAACGAAGTAAAAAGAAATTTATTCACGTGACGATGACACTAACCGTCTAAAAGGTATGTTGCAGGTGTGTACTGTTAGGTTTGCCCAGAGACGGCGCGAAGTAATAAAAGTAGAGGTTTTTTTCTCAAAAATCGGAGAAAATCAATAAAAATCTCTTCTATTTTCTTCAAATCGGAGTAAAATTGAAACAAAAATTTCCATCGGGGGGCCCCCCCCCCCCCCCCGTTCGCGCCGTCCCTGGGTTTGCCTATAAAGTAATGTATGCAATTTTGTTTTTCTATCAGCAATTAAATACTTCAACAAGCTTTAGTGACGAACCAAGACGAGGTAGAAAAAAGCGAAGAAAAGATGGATGTCAATGTCTTATCTACGGAGATATATCTATCGGCATTAATTTTGGTATTCATACATGCTCACCGTGTAGAGTATTTTTTCGTCGTAATGCTATAAAACTCTGTGTAGGATTTGTTTTTGTGTTTTTTCTATGAATAAATTATGTTATTTTATCTTTATCTTGTGTACATATATGAATTTGTATGCGATAAAGAAGGCCATTGTCCAATAACAAGTAGCACTCGTCGAAAATGTAATTATTGTCGTTTAGCGAAATGTTTTCAAGTTGGCATGAATCCAAATGCTATACGTAGTGCAGATGAAAAATTAGAAAGGAACCAATTAAATTAATTGAATATAATCGACAAAGAAAACTTGAAAAATCTATAAAGATATTTTATCTTGAGTGTTTTTTCCCATATTTATTTATCTAGAGTCAGCCAATTAACCTTTCACAACATATTCTTAAAACAAATTTTTCTCTATCATCCACTGATGAAATATTATTAACAAATATATTTAATGCATACGAACAAACATGTGCTTCATTAAGATATAATCAACACTTTAAAATGTGTCATGATGAGATATCATCATTAGAAAAACTTCTAAATTCGATTTCACATATGTATTTAGCATTAGTTGATTATTTAAAATATGTACCTGAATTTTCTAATTTATCTATTGATACAGAAATCTGTATATTAAAAAGCAATTTTAATAAAATATTTCGTTTTAATAATGCACTTATCACACACCCTCAACAGATGCTGATGATGATTTACATTCAGCTACATTTAAAAATATTTTCCCCACAGATTTATATATTGAACTATGCAATTGTATTTCAGCTTTGTTACCGTATGTTCATGGCCCTATTTCTCTTAAATTAGTATCGATAGTATTCATTTTTTCAACAAGTGTAACTGTTCGATTTGATATTAATCCAGAGACACTCGATACAAAAATTGTTTTATCCATACAAAATATTTATATTGAATTATTATGACGTTGGATTCAATATCGTTGTTCAACATATGAAGACAGTGTACAATTGTTTACGTCATTTATTACGCATATACTGCATTCTCAAATTGTTGGTGAAAAACTTAGCGAATATATAAATAAAATGGCATCGAAACATGCTGATCAATTCGAAGCTATTATGAGGGCAATGTGGCTAGAGGAAAAAAATAAAATAAAAATATGTTTTTAATAAATGTAAATTATTTTTTGTAAATGTTTTTCTGTTTTGATTTCATTGCATATAAAATCAAATAGAGCAGACGAAGCAATTGGCTCTTGATGATTTTTCGGATCAGGTTTTGTTTCAAGCTTATAATTTTTTGTTGTGGATGCATTGATTTGATTACAAATAAGAATTGTCCATGGTATAGATTCTGCTGATTCTCTCAGAAGTTTATTGGTATTTTTATCAATTTCATCTGACTGACCAATAAAAATAAGAAAGAGATGAGGAGGTTGTCGTTTTAATCGTCGCATCGTTTGCAAAAGATTCTGAAAATCTGAATATGATGATGCATTAAACATGAGAATGGCATCAAACGGGTCATTTTCATGTTTAGACAAACTTTGAATAACTTCACTTGCATTTCTAATATTGACTTGCTTAATTAATAAAAATGTTGGCGATGATGATGGAATCGTTAATAAAGATTCTTCAGATGAAACTAATGTTACATGTCGAAAATCAGCTAATATTGTATCAACTAAGTTTGATGATAAATGTTCGTTGTCGAAGATGAGAAAATTCATTTTAATTTGTTGTTGTGTTTTGTTGAATGTTCGCTTTTTTTTAACAGTCAAATGCTTGCATTCGATAACAGAAATAGAATTCAATGGGATTATTACGAGAGAGAGAAAAAAGCGACCATATATCTTTTCTTTTTGTTGTCTTTTAAAACATGACTAATAATTATCAAGTTGCATATAATTGGCGAATGTCAATGTTCCACCCACCCAGTAATTTATTTAAATATTATATAATGCCATTTCTATCTTTTATTCTGGCATATGGTATGCATTCTGTCAACGTGCTAATCTTGCTGTTAGTTTTAACTCAATATAAAAGTTCACTATCCAACTTTTAAGAGAAGAATAAAATGAGAACGATTTTTATTATATTATTAATATTAACAGTTTATAGCTTTTACTCATCAGCTGATAAATTAAGTAAAATGAAAAAGGTAATCCAGAAAAATATCTTGATTCACTAAATTAAGTTTCACTTTTGTTTTAGAATGCAAGATTCAGAGATGAATATTTTGCTCAAGGTAACCAAAGTTAAACTGAGATTAAAATTTGAATATTTTATTATTTTTTCTTCTATGTATTAAGCTAATGCTGATGAGTATCCGGCACATATAATTGAATCAGTTCATTCGAATAATCCAGATACTCCGAAAATAAAAATACGTTTAGCAAATGCAGACGATGATGACGATGACGATGCAACTATTTCTATAGCTACTGAAAATGAGCAAGACGACGACGACAACGACGACGACGAAGAAGAAGAACATTTGCCAATTAAAAAAACAAAATCATCCAAATCAAAAATTGACGATATTCATTCTTTTCTTTGATTATAATATTACTTTGTTTCGAATAAAACCTATGCAAACGGAAATGATAAATTTCTTATTTTACGATATATGACACATCAATCATAATGCGTATTCGACAATTTTTTCTTGTCATAATTTTTTACTCACTATGATATGTGAAATGATAAATACACATTCACATAAATATGCCTGGATCGATGTTGATGATCGATTAACATAGTGTAGTTATAATTCTTTGTGCTTTTACCGCAGTTTTTTTTGTGTTGCTGTTGAGAACACCGGGGCTACGATTTAAGTCACGTCTTGAATTAAGACTTTTGACATCAGCGCAATGATTAGCTTACTGGTTTGCAATAGAGATAAAAAAAAGAGCACACCTATTTTGACATGTTAATTTTCATAATCGAACTATTTGTCAGGTGATCATGAAGCAAAGTCTAAACTATTCATCTATTGGCTCTTTTCAGTATATTCAACAATATATATGTATATATAGAATAAATTTGTCAAATTTTCTATTCCGAATCTTTTTGGTTTAGAAAACAAATGATGACAAAATTTTTTTTCATATTATTCAAATATAGTTTAAATAATTCAACAGGCATATATGTTTATTTGAGTTAATTGAAATTTTCATATTTGACTTTGATCTCTATTCTAATAACGAAAAACTCTACATTGATAATTTAATAATCTCTAATTGAATAGTCGACAAAGTTCTAAAAAGTATTTTTTCAGAATCACTGTTCACGAAATACTGATGTTAACCGGCTTACAATTCGATAAACTCTATTATATTAAATTGGTGTATCAAAAATACCTACTCAATTCATGATAATGACTATGGCCATTCTAATTAATTGATTAGTGGCCAACGATACTTGTTTTTCTCATACTATTATATAAGTATTAGTCATGTAAACATAATCACTGTAGATTTGAGGGGTTTCATCAGCTGATTTCGATTTAATCCTACATTCTTGAATTAAAATATTTATTATAAGATTATAACATACAAATAACAGAGAACGTTTTTAAAAATACTGATGCCCATATATCAGTAATCGTACTCAGTGAACTACTTTTTCAAACATAAAATTCAATAAAGAATAATCGTACAGAACTTTTTTCCTTTTTACAATGTTATTTTTCCTCTTTATAATAGGTAGAACTTAGTAAAATATAAAATAGACAAATATATTTATATTCTGAAAGTCTTCGATCATGATTCGAAACAAACGAGAACAAATCAATAAAATATGAAAGTTGAAATGGTATATTCTCACTAAAAAGACAAATAATCTCTCAAGAATAATTTATGAGCTGAATTTTGTTTTTGCAACGATAAAGCTATTGGCATATTCGCAGTAGAAGGAATAAAAAATGCGATAAACGAAAGATTTTTAATTTTAATAGAACAATTGAACTACGATACTAGTAACTCTCGCGTCCGTCGCTATTCGTGATACTTGACTCTTCATAAAAGAAATAAAAACACTAGTCAATATTTTCAACGAATTCTCTTTGTTTTTGACTAATTGATACATGAAATGCGTATTCATCTCTAAGATATGAAAAAATCATTAGTATTTTTATTTAATACATGTAAACGAAAACAACAAGAGGTATAAATCCTGAGAGTAGTAATTAAATACATAGAAGTTAATTTTTTCTTGAATTACAAATAACTGACTATTGGAAATGAAAATGAATAACCGATTGTTAGATATCAAGTTGTATTTTTCTTTTCTTGTTTTTCAGTTAACAAGTCTTTTTTTGATTATTACTATTATTTGCATTGACTATGGACAATAATAATTGCATAAGCTGATTATGTCTATCTTGTGATGCTTCATCGGTGCCATTAATACGATGTCGAAGTGAACGCAATTCACTATTGACCATTTCAAATATGTTACGAAGAAAATTTTCATTGCCCATGATACTTTGATCAGGTTTTGTTGGTGTTAATAAAGATGAATTTCTTTCTGAACTATTTCTTGGAAATATAACTTTTTCATCTGCTATTGTCTAAAATAAAATCGATCTTTTTAAGCAAATTCTTAACAACATATTTTTCATTCTCACTTGCGTAGCTTTATGAATAGATCTTTTCGGTGTTGCCATTTTAAGACGTTCTTGTTGAAGATATACTGTATAATCAAGTTTAACTTGCACACCATATGCATCTTTAAATACATCATTGATATGTATCCATATGTAATGTGCTTCAGTTAATTTCCAAAATGTAGTTAACTCTTGCGCCGCCATAGTTTCGTTTGTAAGACGAACGCGTATACCAAGCCATGGAAGTGTACGTACAGATTCTGGACACACATAGATATCCGAAAATGATACATAACTTTCATTACCAAAATCAACAAAGAAAATTAGAGCTTGTTCCTGTTGTATATCAACTGATTTCACCCATGCACGATAATATTTTTTATCATCAACATATCGGGCCACAACAAGACTACAGAAGAAGAAAAAGAGAAAAAAATTAAAAATTCATATCCTATGAAACACAATTCAAAACAAGTATTGAAGTTTAGATTTGAAAATATAAACTTTTCTCTCCTATTAAAACCATCGATGTTATTGATATAAAATCTAAGAATACATATATCAATAACATCTCGTTCTAATAGCGCATTATTCTTTTCTTGAAAGATTTACACTGTTTTCTTTTTCATATATTGTAATCTTACATGGAGTGATCGAACAGTCTTCAAATAATATCTTAAGAAAAAAAGAAAAGAAATTGTATAAAACGTACGTTTTAATTTGAGGTACTTGAAGATACTCTCGATTTGGTATATGATCTTCTTGTAATTCGCTCATAGCTCGATCAATGGCAGCTGTGTTTTCATTAATAACTAATACATAAAATGAATCATCTTTTCCATCAAATGAGCTAAGTAAAGCTTTAAATTCATCGCCAACAGATAATTTTAATTCATATTGAAATTGTCCAATAAGTTCTTCTTCAAACGACATTAATTTCTAAAGAAAGAAAGAAAAAATAATCATATTTTTTATCAAATGTTGCTAAAACAATAATTTACATAAGGTGAAATTAATTGTTCGATTTGATTATTAATAATTTGTCCATCGATCGAAAGAATAATTTTACCACCAGTTACATTATCATAATCGTTAACAATGACTTCATATTCATTTTCACTCAGTAAATGAATGCATTGCGCAATGACACAAGATGGTATTAAATCATTTGAAGTTGGTACACCATCAAGATGACAGAGCATAGAACAAGCGGGTTCGAAATAAAACTCATTTGGTAAACGACGAATATATGTCGGTTCGATTTGTACTGGAATTACCATACCCCAATCCAAATAGTTAACAGTTGCTGTCGATATATCTGATGATATTTGTAAAATACGACAACGAAACCAACGACCTTCATGACAACATGCACATATATGGTTTATTTCTGGTCTATAAAATTTAAACATTGAAAAATACAGGAAAGTAACTAGATCGATAATTCTTACTTGAAAAGATGAATAGATTTATCATCTGGTTGAAGCTCTGGATGTGCTGACATTTGACGAAGTAGATGACAAGCTCTAGTAAAATCTTCTTTCAACATAATCTGTAAGAAAATGTATTATTTAGCAGAAAAGACTAGAAAATTTATTTTACATGAACAATTGAAGGACTTTGTGGATGAGATATATGAACTTTTGTGAATTTTTGTCCACGTTCTAATGGTCTATGTGTTGGTATATCGATCATAAGAGGTTGGGATTTAATTTTTGATTTTCGATTTATTAGATTTGATGATAGATTTTTAATAGTACTAATTGGTTGAAAAGCAGATGATGATGTTTGCTTTAGATATGATTTTGACGATTGTTGATTTGATTTCAATAAAGAATAATTTTGCAAATCATCAATACTCGTATAAGCTAATTTTCCTACCGATGAATTTGATGGAAAATATGTTGACATTGATCGGGTTAGACCAGCTTGAGCAATAATTGCTGTTGGGCGTGTTGATATATCAGCAGGAGGAATTTTCGTCAAATAAGCTGGTGGTGCCATGTACTCGACAACTTCTTGAGATTCTTGAAAGAGAAAAAGAAGATACGTTGTTGAATATCAAATATAAATTATAGATTTACCAATATGATTATGACGAATAAAATCATTTGGCTTAGCATGACCAATGTCAGGTTTCGGAAACCAATGATGTAACTTTTTATTTTTTGTCTGTTCATTAGCCATATTATGTGTATCGCTTATCATATTTAGTTGAGGTAAATCAGCTTTTTGACTATTAATATTTGGATTCGTTTTTGCTTTTTTTTGCTGTGTTTTCAGTGGACGAAGATTGCAAATAACTGATTCCAGATCAGCACCAATTGCAATCGATGATAATATTGAAGAATCTTTAGATTTTACCGTTACATTCTTATCATTATTATTATCATCATCTTCTAGTTCACCAAAATTTGAATTCGATAGCAATATTCGATCATGAACATTATCATCATTATTGAGATTATGACTATTTGTCAAATGAGAACTCACGTGAATACCACCACCACCACCACCACCACGATAACCACGAATAGGACGTTGCATTTATCTGAAGTTAGAGAAGATTTTACCTAGTTATTTTACTAAGGTTGTATTTGTATTTCATTGGCTAATATTCAGTAGCAACTTCTATTAGTGATGAATGCATAAGAAACCTAGAGAACACTCAGCATTCTTCTCATAACAAAAAACAGGATGGAAATGATTTTTTAATATTTCTATATGGAAGGAAATTCAATATTTTTGCTTAAATCAGTTCCAAACATTTGTAGTTAAAATTTAAAGTCGTCTATTTGCAGCAATACTTGATTGAATTCATCAAGATTATTCATTCGTTTGTTTTAGTGCATCATTGCTTTTGATTTTCCTCCTTTCCCAATGATATAAAAATATACAAAATTTTTAAAATAATCGTATATTAAAAGTTAACTATTCGATTTATGCTTTCGAAAACATTTAATATGAAAAATAACGACCAATCAACACAAGGAATTCAAAAGATCAACTACACGTATGATATAAACAACAGTTTTAATCTTCATCATCATTATCATAGTCGTCGTCGCTGAGTGGTGATAACTTGATACCAAAACGTTCTGGTGGCCAGACAACGTATAATGCTCGTCCAGTTACTAAACCTCGAGCAACCTAAAAATATGATAAATTGCTCTTTGGTTTCTCGAATCATCTCGTGAACTTACACAACCAAAATGACGACTATCATAACTCGCGCGTTTATTGTCCCCTTCAACCCAGATATGTCCTTTGGTCACACATGTTTCTTTTTGTTTTGTTGTATCACTTGAAAAATAAATAATAACTCACAAAAACTAGCTTTATTTTAAAAATGACTTTCTTACTAAATTAAATCATTTTCAGATGCTTTTACACGTTTGATCATATATGTACCTGGCTCGCGAGGAGATCTTATAAAGTTTTCAATATTAAACATTAGTTATAGAAGTAGAAAAATCATAAAGAAAACCTACTCAAATGATATAATATCACCTTTCTGTAAAGAATAGTCATCCACATGCCAACGTTTTATTAAAACCCAGTCACTACTTAAACCAGTTGGATTTAGAAGAGGCTATAGGAAATCAATTAATAGTCGATCACAGTGAATATAGTCTACCTGCATTGAAGTTCCATCGACAAGTGATATTGTCGCTATCTTATCCATAAAAGTGGCAAGAAATGGAAGGGCAAAAATAGCGCCTTTAAATCCATGCTTTAGAAAACCTCCGAATTTCTATGCAAATATATTTATATTACAATTGAAATAAATCAGAGAAAAACCTTCATCTACCATTTCATTAGTATAAATAATAGAAGAGAAAAACAAAATTGATCTAGAGAGAAAATTATTAATACTTGTATTTTTTTTTCTTTTGTCTAAATATGAAAGTATTGAACTAGATAAAATATAATCCGAAATAAAATATCTAAGTGCACAAAACAGGACATAAAATTAAAATTATGTGAGATCTTTTTATCATGTCATAAATATTCAAAACGATGGGGACAAACGGGTCAGTCGAATTATTAAACTAGTAATCATTGAGTAGTTGATTTAAGTCCACTAAAAACATGATCGACATCTTCAAATACCTAGAAGTAGACAGAAAAATTAATTTTCTATTTTAATAGTTAAATAAATCAAACTTTGTCAACATCATTTGCAGCATGAATACGTTTAACCAAATTTTCTTTTTCGTAAAGTTCAATTACCGGTCGTGTGGAATTATTGTATGTTACAATACTGAAATGAATATAAAAGAAACATTTATACGTAATATATTGACTATTTTTACCGCTTCTTTAAACTTTCCTCATTGTCATCGGCACGTCCACTTCCTTTACCACGTTCAAGACATCGAGCAACACAGGTCTAAATGAACAATGCAAAAAAGAAAAGAAAATATTATAAATAGAAAAACAAATAAAACGATGAAAACTGATAGTAACCTGTTCATCACAATCAAAAAAGAGAACGCATCGAAGATTAACTTTTCCATCCATAGCTAGTTTCCATCCATCAACATTATCTTTATTACGTGGAAATCCATCAATTAAAAAATTTTCTTTGCCACTCTTTTGCATAGCCTTGATGAAAGTAGACAAGAAGTTCATTTTCTTACTAATGATGAAAATATAGGATTAGTATACATTTTCAAGCAATTTGCAAGTCACTGCCACAGGTACGATAGAGCCATTTTTTATATGTTCGTTGATTTCATTGCCTAGAACTGAATCAGGTTTTGCTGCTTCTTCTCGAAGAAGATCGCCAGCTGACAAATGAACATAACCATGTTTCTACAAAGAATAAAAGAAACCCGAAATTGTTTTATTCATTAAAAACCATTTGAATAAATGCAACTGACTTCGGCAATACGAACACATTGTGTACCCTTGCCTACACAAAATAATATTTAGAAGAATCAATATTTCAACCTATTAAGCATGGCATACCAGCTCCTGGTCCACCTAAAACGAAGACTACATTTGGTTTTGATGATGCCATAGCAATCTCTCTTTATATATCTATAAAAGATAAAATAAAAAGACAACTTATAATTATTTTTTCTCATAAAATATTTTTGCGCATTCCTATCACAGTAATCATAGATGGACAGAACAAAAATATAAAATAATATTTGAACTTCTACAAAAATTAAAGATATGAATTGTGCTGTACATATTTATCAATTAACATTTTTAAAATTTTATTTGAATAAAGTTGTGTACCCTTAATTGATAGATTCATAATCGGGCTTGTTGGTTTTTTTGCTAACCATTCTTCAATGGCTTTTCTCTCGTATGTATAACCGTCAGATGCACAGACAGGATCGTGCATTAATTCATGTGTTATTGGACATAAAAATTCATTTGGTATTGTTTGTTCATTATTTTCATCTGATACTAAATTTAGATTTGTTTTTTTCAATAAAAATTGTTTTATAAAATGTTTATGTCTTAATGAACTAAGTTCATTTAATAATAGTTCATTATTATTAAATAATTCTAATATTTCACTGTCCGATTTCAATAATAAATCATTTCCAGTTAGACTCAACTTTGTTTTTATATTAAATTGTTCAAGCCATTGTTTAACCATTTCATTTGTCCATTGATCAATAGGATGCAATTGAAATTCTTGGTTTTTAGATTTTTTATGATTTTTTTCATCGTCATCTTTTTCAGTATCACTATAATTTATTTGCCATATATTCACCATACGATCATTTGAACCCGATGCTAAATAATGACCATCCGATGAAAATGCACAACATGTAACATAACGTGTATGTGCATCAAACTGATGAATAAAATGCCCTGTATCATAATTCCAAATAATAATTGTTTTATCACCAGAACCACTTGCTAAATAATTTTTAATACCAAATGATACACACATAATAGGACATATATGTTTTTTCATTGTTCTTACTAGTGTTAAATGATATTTTGATGATGTTGAACAATGCCAAATTTTAACATGATTATCATTTCCACCTGACGCTATTAAATAAGGCGGATGATGATGATGATGATGGTTTTCAGTTGAAGAAGGAGAAGGAGAATAAACATCTAAACATGTTACACCTAAATCATGCGCTTCACGTTCAAAATGAACAGGACCAGTAAATGATGAATCAATCACCCAAAGTTTAAGATCACCATAAAATGAACCGGATATAAGAAGATTTGAAAAAAATCTCAGGGCAACTATGGATCCTGAATGACCAGCTAAAATTTTAATTGGTCGAGATGATGAAGCAGTTATATCCCATAAATTGATTAATTCATCATCACCAGCTAAAAAGATGAAAAAATATATTTTTTATTTTCTTCTCTACTTTCAACGAGAAAACAAAGAAATGAAATTAACCTGTTGCTAAATAAATGCCGTCCGATGAAAATTGACAAACACGTATAGGAGAATCACTATCATGTTTATATTCTTTTAATACACTGATTGTCTTTAAATCCCATAATAGGCAAGTACCATCCGTTGAAGCTGATGCCATATATTTAATCGTTGAATCATTATTATCATTAAGAATTGGTGAAAAAGCAAGACAATGCACTTGATAAGTATGCCGTGTTAATACTGTTGATAATTGATCATTCAAATTCCATAATCGAATCGTTTTATCCGATGAACATGAAGCTAGTAATGGTGGCGTAGAATGTGTTGGTGAGAATATAACAGCATTAACATCAGATACATGACCACTCAGTGTATGTATTAATTGGACGGATAGTACAGGTGGCTTGTTGCTTGCCATTGAAAATAATTGATTAAGAAAAAGAAAAGAACTATCTTGCAAAGTTAGGTTTAACGACAAGATAGTAAATAAATAGTCCTGATGAGTAACGTCTCTACAATACCGTTATACTGATGACGAAAGCACAGAAATAGTATTATTATTCTTTTTTTTTTGTTTTTGACCCAAGTATTGACTAACTAGAGAAAGAAAAAGACCAATTGAAATAGGAGTCGATGTTAAATAAGTAAATATTGGATAGAAGCGCCCTCTTATGAGAAGCGAACGGATTTTATTTCTCGCTGGACATGTATGTTGTAATTGTAATGGGAGAGCGAAAATTGGTCGAAAATTTTATAATAGAAGAACAAAAGCTTTTTTAAAAGCAGCTCGAATTTTGTAGTGTAAAGGTGAAACTAGCACTAATTACATTATCATGTTAATATTAGAGGAAAATAGTGATTCGGACAAATAAATTAGGCATGCATAATAAACGAAAAGTAGTTTAGAACTTAGGAAGAAGACCTTCTAACTCTTTTAGTAACGTTGACTGTTTTGAGAACACAGTGACCACCTCAGTCACACCCTCACTCTCAACATACACTTCGGGCTTGGAGTTTCCGTTTAAGAAAAAGCTTTTGTTCTTCTATTACAAAATTTTCGACCAATTTTCGTATCGACCAATTTTCGGCGACCAATTATCGTTCGACCATTTTTCATTCGACCAATTTTCGTAGACCCTTTAAATGAAAGAGTTATGATAATTTGTATACGAGTATAATTATTCTTATCAATATTAGTATACGTCAGTGAATATCTCTATTTATTTACTTTCGTCTTCTCGATATCAAAAGTACCGGTTCTATTGTTTGTGATATGAAAATGACTCATAATCATAAAAAATATAAATTCTGGTTTTCAAATGTCAACATCTGTTATATATTGTGTGGAAAATTCAAATTGAACGCTACAACTGTACTGATGTTAATTTTGAATGCTGTCACAATTTCCACTTAATTTCAATTTACCTATTAGTCTGAATATTTTTCAACTTATTCTTGTAACACACAATAATACAAAAATAATCTAATCAAAGATCAATATTCTAATTTTAGCAATTATTCTACATTTCTAATAGCAAAAAAAAACAAAGAAAAGAAAGATATATCTGACAAAGACGGTTCTAAAAAAATAGCAAAACGATAAATAAGGTTTAAAGCAATATTTCACTGTTTTTAGCCTGAGGAAAACAAAAACCTTATTCGATTATCATCGTCAACAAAAACATGAAAAAGAAAAAATCTTAATTATTTCAAGTAACAGCAGATGTTTCAGAGTGAAGATCATTATTAAAACCAAATGATTCGGTATAGAGAACAGACTGATTCCATCCTGTTGAATCAATATAAGTTGTTGATTTTCGTGTCGTTGGAGAAACAGGTGAACCACGAGCACTTGTCTATAACATAACAAGTAAAGATTGTTTTTTTCTTCGGAATAGAAAAACAAAGAAATTTATATGAAATATTTACTTCAATCGAAACATTGCTATCTACTCGAAGGCTATTAACATCTAGACGATATGGACTTCGTTCACGTAACGTTCTATCGACACGATCATTTAAAATTTCCATTTGATTTTCAAGAAATTGAATTTTTGATATTAACAAATGATTTTCGCGGCGCATTTCACGTACTTTGGCATCTTTATCAAGCATACTAGTGAATAGATAAATAAATAATAGATATCAAAAGCAAAAGAATTCATCTATAGGAAATGCTATAACTAAGTAGATACAAAAATTTGTTTTAAAACGAAGAGAAAAGATACACATTTGAAGATCCTATATTATTACCTGGTAAGTAATTGTCTTCGTTCATCAACCAATTGTTGATATGCTGATTCTTGACTCATTTTTAATTCGGTATCTTTCTCCAGTAATTGTCGTGTTTCATGTAAATCTTTTTGAATATTTTTCATATGTTCAAGATACTTTATTTTCGAACGTTCAAACATATCTCTATAAAACAAAAACGAAGAAATGATTAAATTGAGTAAATAGATTAAAATAGATTCTGACCGTTCTTCTTGCAAACGCTGTTTATATTTATCTCGAGTTGATTCATAATTTCTTTGCGCTTGTTCAATTTTTTGTTGATACATTCGACATTTAAATTGCCAATTTTGACTATCTGCCTTTTCCTTTAAATATAATTGAACTGCTGTTGATTGATCATTTTCATTAGTCTGATTTAAGATTAAAATTAAAGATAAAATTTCTTTTTTTTCCCTTCTTTTCTTTAAACTTACAGGTAATATCGAGAGTAATGTTTGATTATTGATTTGTGCATAATAATCAAGTTTAAGTCGATATTCAATGAGTTCTTGTTGTAATGAATTATTTTCTTCAATGCGAGTATACAGTTCTTTACGTATACTAGCGTATTCATCTTTCAATCGTTTCAACTTCATTTCAAGTCTTTGTCTAAAAAACAGAAACAGCTATGAGTACAATGCGTCTTGGATAGAAATGTGAAACACAATGTAGCTATCGTTACTGTTTTGGGGAATCTTTTTTTTATTTGATCTTTTTTTGTGTCTCGTTGCGTCATCAATCTTTTATCTCATTCTCGAGAAATGCAGTCACAAGATACATAACGTAAATCAATATCGATAAATTCTTATCATATATATGAATAACATTTGCCACGAGTTAGGATGATAATTCTAACTGTTGGAAACTAAACTCTAACACACTCGTGAAATGGAATATCATAACATTAGATTTTATCCTATTTGGCCATAATCTTTGGATTACTTGTTTTTTCGCTAGACAACGCGCATGTTTTCTTCAACGTTGGAATCTATGTTATCTCGATTTTAATTTGTCTTTCGACGATGTTTTTTTTTATTATCTATCGAAGATGAAAATTTCTATTTTGTTTACCTTAATATTTCCTTTGAATTATTTTTGCACAAAAAATTATTGAAAATAATTTCTCTTATAAAACAAAAGCAAAACATGAAATACCGTTTAAGTTTTTCATCTTCAATCGTATTTTGTAAAACTGTATTTTGATCAGATTTTGTTAATAATTCAAATCTTAAAGTATTTATTTCCCGTTTTGTTGGTTCAGTTGTTTCATTTAAATGAAAAAAATGTTTATCAGTTTCATGAAAACGTCGTTCGAATTCTTCACTTTTTTCTAAAGAATCTTTAGCTACAATACGAGATTTAACTAATTCTGATTGTAGTTCTTGAATAGTTCGTTGTAGTTCTGTTTTCTAGAATACAACAGAAAAAAGAAATATATTCTAATCGTTTATGTTTAATTTTTGTTTAGAAAAATCTACATGTTGTTGTTCTTGTAATAAGTCTTGTTCGAGTTCATTTATTTTTAGCATTTTTACTTTATTTTCTTGTGTCAATTGATTATTAATAGTAAGATGTAATGCTGATCGTTCATTTAAATCACTTTGTAGTTGTTCAATAAACTAAATAATAAAATAAAACAAATATTTAGATGAACGAAGAAAAACCAAACGAAGATTTGTCTACAACGAACATTTATTTTTTCATTGATTTCAGTTTTAAGTTTATCAATATTCGTTCGATATCGTTCTAATTGACTAGTAAACTGATTGTTATCATGCTGTAATTGAATTATTGTTTGATGTGTTTTAAATAATTCGCCATCATAATTTGACTAAAAACAAAAGTAAAAATAATGTTTTTAATCGTCTTTCAAAATTTTACCATCATTTTCTTTTGTTCATTTCGTAGAAATTCTATTTGAGAATTGCGCTCTGCTATATCATAATCATATCTCTTTTGCAATTCACTTAGACTTTTATGTAATTGATGTAGCTGACTATAGACTGTTTGAGTATCATCAGTTGTTGATGTTAAAGCGAATTTTAGATCTCGATTTGTTTCATTTTTTGAATTTATCTTTTTGATTAAATTTGAAAAAGAAACAAACAATGATATTTGATAAGTTAATCAATATAATAGATTTACTTCTTCCTCCAGACTTCGATTTTCTTTTTGAAGTTGCTGACAAACATTTTGAAAAGAAGATAATTGCATAAGAAGAGCATCTCGTTGGTTAACAGCATCTTCTAGTTGTTGAGTAAAGTCAAGTTCTTTTTGACGATAATCATTTTGAAGTTTAAGAATTCCATCATAAAGAGACTAGAAGAGAGGTTTTAGTTTTTGAAGTCAAATTTCATTTAAACAAATACTAAACAATCAATTCAGTATGAAATTAAGATATTTCAATATTTTCTATCGAATGTATAGAAGAAAAACAGAACCGACACTAATGCAAAATACAAGAAGTAATCAAGGTCTATAGAAATCGTCGACAATTTGGCGCTTATTGAATCACATTGATTTTGAAATATGAAGATTACATGTTTCTCGTAGGAATAGAAATTCTATTGTAAAATATCGTACTGTTAAAAGGTTTTCACTGGGGATGCGTCATTCTAAGTCAACATTTAAGCAAAATCGAACAAGATTATGTAAAATTCAAAATCATAGATATATTTGAAAAAGATTACTATCAATGACTCGAGAAAGAATCAACCTATTTTTATGGAAAATTGTCTTAACTCTTCATTGAACGATAATACCAGTATGCATGAACTACATGGAGTTGATAGTTAGTTAACTGAAACTAGATATTCCTAATTTTATATATTCATATTCAGTCATGTCGTATTTTAATGGAATTACAGTTGAATGTAACACTTTGTAACATGCACGATTGTAGCTATTTAATTACAGTCTAGTATCGAATCAAATAAAGTTCCTACCGTGAATATTGAACATCTTTTAAGCTATTTTTATTCGATATTTATTTATCTATGTTCATAGATGTTATTCAAAAACTGGAGTATATTATATAACTATATTCTACTGGCATATTTTCAACTTAAGAGCAATGATGGCCTATTTCAATTATGTATTCTATGTGGTAGCATAATAAATGCTTTCTTCTAGAATAGGAATGCTGAAAAAAATCAATATGTAGATTTGCTTGTAAATAAAAATACTTTCAAACATCATTTTCTAATGGTACCATAGAAGAAACCATTCATATATCTATTTGAATTTCAATAGAGAGAAAATGACTACTGTTTCTTCTTACATAAAAAGAATGAATACAAGCTTAAATCTACTAACAAAGATGAAAATCAAGATTTATCTTCAAGAAAAAAAAACATTTCGAACTTTTACAATTAATTAGAGACAAAAATTTTCCTTTGCTCAATGAGACTTACGAAATTCAAACAGCAATAGGACAGCCAAAACTAATTTATTTTGCGATTCCAATTTTAGTTTCTGAATATTATATTGTCTCTCTCTCTCGATGTCTCCCTTGTCGCTACTTATTTTCAATAAGACATAAGATATATTTATCCTTGAGAGTAGTTTTCATTGTTCTTCTGTTGAATTCACTCAAGGTCGAAAGCTGATGTCATAATGAAGATGTTTTTCATTGTACAATATAAAGTATGCTAATTATTCATTAAATAAATTATATTCTTAATCAATATCTATATGAAAGACTGCCTCACTTTCGGTTGAATCAAATCAAAGAAGAATTTGATATTATAATATACGTATCTTACGCTATATTTTTTTTCTCTTTTTTCACTTTGTTCTTCTAAAGCCGTAACCGTCTTTTCATATTCTTGCCGTTCATGTTCAAATTTACTTTCCATATCAGCACAAATTTTTTCAACGCGAGCTAATTCCTATTAAAATTAAGATAACGAAAAAAAAAGTATTATAGATAAAAATAACAATACCTGAGGAAGTTTTTGTGCATCTTGAGCTGCTTCTATAATCTGTTTATAATGTTGAGTTTTATTCGTCAAATCTCGTTTTGCTTGTTGAAATTTTTTTGTTATTGATTCGATTTGTTCACGTAAACGAACAATTTCCAATTCTGATTGATTATTGATTTGATTCAGCCAATTAATTTTTAATTTTAATTGTGATACACTAGAATTATCTTCAGTTACTGTTGGATCATTTGTTAAAATAAATTCTTTTTCACGCTCTCTCAATGTGTGTGCTTCTTGTTCAAGTACTAATTGTCGTAGTCTAGCACGTTCCATTTCTTCATTCCATTGACTTTTTTCAGCATACAGATATTCATTTTCTTCATAAATTGTATCGAATTCTTGTGTACGAGTTTTTAATTCTTGATTTTCCTTTATTAATTCATCTAATTTATCGTGCAATTGATCTAATTCATTTTGCAATTGAATAACTGTTGGTTGATGTTTAAGAATACTTTTTGGTGAGGCAACATTTGTTGAAACCGTATAAAGATCTTCAATTGAACTCATTATTGAACTTGCACCTTTGTCGATTTCGTTTTGTAATTTTTGCAATTCATAATCACGTTTATGCAATGTCTGTTCTAAACGTTGAACATGTTCACGCAACTGAGTAACTTCATTCGATGGATAACGACTTAAAAGGTTTTCATCTATTGATTTTGAAGAATGTTGAGAAATCGGTGATAATTGTTGTTGATTAGATAGTGGAGATGGAGGAGAAGGATAAAAGTGTGCCTGTTGAAAAATAAATTTATCTTAGAAAAATTTTTGTATTGCAAAATTTGTTTATTTGTATTCAATGCAATCGAGAACAACATAAAAAAGAACGTGAAAATTTACATTGCTTTTCTCTATTCTCTTCATGCACAATGAATAATAATAATAATAATAAGAAGAAAAAAGTGAAACATGTATTGTTTAAATTTTGTTCTTGTTAATTTTTGAACAAATTGACTTCGACAAGGGCGTTGTCGCGGTAAACTACATTAAATTTTATTCTCGTGTATGTTCGAGAGACCTGAATGGTTCAAGGATACTTTCTTTCTTTCGTTTTCTTTTTTTACAAACAGAACTTAATCAAAATATATAAATCAACTAACTAACCTGTTTTGGAGATGATGTTTGTTGTTGACATTGTTGTAAGAGTTTTTTATTAACTAATTTGATTTTTTCATATTCTTCGAGAGTTTTTTTTAAATTTGCTTTTAAATGTTTAGTTTCATCAGAATCAATCGTTTTTCTTAAACGATTATTTTCATTTGTTGATTTTGTTAATTCTTCTTTTAAATTTTTATTGCTAATTTCTAATAATTGTACTTGTTCATAGACGGGATCACTTGTTTTAAAATGATTTAATTCAGCATGTAGAAGTTTATTTTCTTGTAAAACGTTATCAATCGTTAATTTCAATTGTTGATAGTCTTTCGATTTGGTGGGTGATTCAGGATTTTCAGGTGCATCAATAAGATTTTTATATAAAACAAGTTCTTTTGAAGATGAACGATACTGTTCAGTTAGACGTTCATTTTCTGATTCTGTTTCATCAAGACGACGTTTTAATGTTGTGTATTGTTTTTCATATTGTGTACGAATAAATTCGATCTAAACGTTTTTTTGTTTTGTTGAATAGATATTAGTCAAACAATAGTAGAAGAATTTATTTTACAGACTTGACTTATAAGATGAGCACGTTCATCAAGAAAATATTTTATTTGATTGATTGTGTCCAATTGTACAAGACTAGTAAGATCAGCCTCGTGAAGTAAATGGGCTACATAACCAGCAGATTTATCATTATTTATAGGTACTAAAAAGAGTAAATATTCAAAAAATACAACTTAAACTTATAAATTTCAATTGATATCAATTCATTTAGATAGATATGTAGAAGTAGAGTAGCTATATAAGAAATGTTCGTATAGTATTTTCAAGTAGCTCTTCTATTAGTTTAACAATGGGAAGACAACCCGAGTCGAAAAATCTGACACAAGATCTTATGAAGCACATACAAGATCTTGCAATACGGGCGAAATCTTACAAAAATCTGACAAAAAATCGTAGTTCCTGAGATCTCAGATCTCGGAAACTATGATTTTTTGTCAGATTTTCGTATGATCGTGCAAGATCATATAAGATCAGATCTTACAATATGATTGCTCGACCTGGGAATACATATTTTTCATGCCAATCAAATTAAACAAAAGGCTTTCTTTGTAAGAAGGAATAAATTTTAGGTGCACTTGATCGGTAACATTTGCAAATCAGACATCATATTAGATTTTCGATTGATTACACAAATATTTTTTATGATAGTGTTGAAAACGTACGAAGAAGTCTCTGATAAGTGATAATATAGAAAAGTATTTTACAAATATCTTACATGAGAGATTCGACAATGAAGAGGCACCACTGTTTTTTGTTGATGGTTCATTTGCTAGTTTATTTTGTATACCTTTTGATGTTTTATGATGTCGTTTTTGATAATGTCTTTTCTTCTCGTCATCATCTTCCTCACCAGTATCTCTTTCTCCAGTAGTGATTTCTATATTTTCCGGATGAGTTTTTCGTCGACTTTTGGTATACATATGTTAAATAATTTTTGATGATAATCAATGTTAGCAGTTTTCATGAGATTCAATTTTTCTAATGAGTGTTCGATGATTCTTCTTCTTCTTCGATTTATTTGCCAGCAAATCGCCTATCAACAATGTTTAACATCTTAATTTCTTTTGTAGGACATGTCTTGTTAGTAACTACCATACAAATGAAGGCACAAAGCAATGAAAACAAAATCAACTACACAGTGTCACTTCTCCGTTCATTTAAGAAAAGGAAAAAAGTGTATGTATGTACACAGCGATACAAGAGAGAGAGAGAGAGAGAGTTATTGTTCGATCAAGTTAATATCGACATTACATATGGAAGAAAAAAGAGAGAAAGCAAGAAGAATTTGTATAAGTGATCATTCAAAAAGAATAAAAAAAAACAGAAGGTGTGAAATTTTGAGCCGTGCTACTACTACCCTATTTGTGTAAGAGAATTTGTCGTGTCTTTTCTTTCACTATTCATTAAAACTATAACCTTGTTCATCTCAATTTACGATATAATGTTCATAACGATTTTGCGTACTGTTTTTTGAAACCTTTTTCTTCAACAAAAAAAAATATATTTCAAATTGATCACTTACTTTGACATATTCATAATAATAATTACTTGAAAGTTGTGAATGTTTTCTTTTGAGTAACGACACTTTTCATGTTATGAAAAAAAAAACCATACTCATACGTAATGTGTCGTGTAGAAAGACATGGCAAACGAGTTGACGCGGCAGGCAGCAAATGAAATGAGATAAAGAAAATAAATCCAATGTCACTTAAAACTTCATTTTTTTTTCTTTCGTTTTCAATAGTTGAATCATTATTAGCAACAAATGATGTTTAAATGAAGCACATATGGTTTCTCGATGTGCAGATTATAAAATAAACGAATATTAAATTAGATTGAAAGCTTCAATTTTTTCAAAAACATGAGAATGTTTCGGAGTTGACCATATGTGTAAATTGATTTGGTTTTCTTTCTTGAGGGTAAAATAATCACGCAGTTGTCTTTTCAAATACTTGATTGAATGAAAGAAGAAAATGAGCAACTGAAGTTTTTAAGAAAAGAAACCCATAATGACCTTGAAAAACAATCAATGAAAAACCTAAACAATTCAAATGTATTACAACACTTGTTTTCTTTGTAAATCCACTTTGAATTAGTAACATTACGTCTAAGATAATTGATGGAATCATTTTACAAATACTTCTGAATCTGCGACTTTATAATTAATCAGAGAGTGACAACGAATCTTCCCTAGAATGAACGGACAGGGTCTAGAAATTGTAATTCCTCTGTGCGTGTATATGTCTATCCGTTCGCCTGAATGACTCTGATCTTCAAAACAAATGATCATTCGAATGGTTCAAATGACCACTTATATGACAGAAACCAAGGGCATTTGCGGGGAGGTCAGCGATGGAGCCGGTCTAGATATTGGACGAGCGATATCGGCGCTGGTCTTCGAAGGCGTGACCGGACCGGATGGACCAGTAACCAGTATTGATTCCATATAGGAGGAAGGTACACACAGAATAGACCCCTTAGCCACAGAGCCAGCAAATGAGCGGGGAGGGCGATCCTCGTTGTAGGTTCTCTATGGAGCTTTGAGCCCGCCATTACAAAAAATTCTCAACCGCACATTTTTGTAGCTATGTGAGACCTCACTCTATTGATCACGAGAATTTTGAAACACTTCTCTGATTGCTTTGAGGTTGGGGGACTGAACCCATCTTTTCAGAAATTTCATAGTCCCTTTCTGGCACAAACAGCCATTTTTTGCCTCTGTCCATGCATTTCCAAGTCGGAGCCTCGTCAGTCTAAGGTCCAGTGAATCTATTCTCGATTCATGTTACTTGTTCATAATGGTCGCGGGCTTGATTCATCATATCAATTGAAGTTCGTACTGTATTTCAATTTGGAAGAGCAAGTACTTTCAGGGAAGAAGCAATAATTGGTTCAAAATATTTTTTTATTTTCAGCCATAGTGCACAAGAAATACGTCGTATATTAGAACATATATTACTGAAGATGAAGGATGATAATCGAGCAGTGCTTATATAAATTCAACCTGAGGAGTTTTACTTTCGCGAAAATGTGATACTGATAAGAACCCCATCGTCAAATGCATATGGATACCATTCAAATATATGTAACTCGGTTTCACAATGTGATGGCTTTCAATAAAATAAAATAAAAGGCAATATCTTTTCAAATTTTAATGTATTAATTCGATTGAAATTGTGATTGAAGCTATCAATGGCACAATGACAAAATTAACTGGATCATCTCCACTGCTACTGTTAATATTCTATTTTCTTAAGCTCAAAATCCATTTTTAAACCTTTTTTAAATCAAAATATTACCCAGGTCCATCAATCTTATGAAATCTGACAAAAATCTTACAATAAGATCATAAAGTCTGTGTCATCGTATAAAAATCATACAAGAATCTTACGAAATCTGATGAAAATCTTACTATAGGCTCTTACACCATGAATCACGCTTTATGTTTCTCGGAAAATCTGAAGAGTTCTTATAAGAATCTTACTAGATCTGACGAAATCGTGCAAGCATCTTACAAGATCTTACAGCAAGATTCTATCACCTGGGTAGAGGAGTGTTGAATAGTACCCAAAAACTGAGAAGCATACATGAAACAGATTTTTATAGCAAAGAACTCAGTGTTTCTCTTTCGATATAAAATAAAGATCTGAATATAATCATTTTATTTTATTTATACAATAGACAGTTACATGAAAAAACAATTTTGTTTCAGAAACGCATTGACAACAACTTTCATTAATAAAGAAAATTTAACATAACAGTAATCGTTGTTGTGATCATGACTGCTTGAACTATCTTCCATTGCTTTGTTTCATGCATCAGATTCTTTTGTTCTACATCGTCAATATTATCGATCAGATGTTTTATTTGTTCAGATTGAGCAATAAACTTTTGTTCTCGTGCGAGAATTTCTTCAGCTTGTTGGATAAGTTTTTCTTCTTTTTGTTTCTGTTTTTATCCGTTGCTCATCAATTTCCTCTTTTTGAGATTGAGCTTCTTGTTTTACTCGAGTAAGATGTTTTTTTGTTATTTTATTATCTTTTATTTCCGACTTAAGCTTATTTGTTGCTTCGTGAAATTTTTCAGTCATCGAGTTTAATAAAACGTTGATTTGACCATTTATAATTTCTTTGTCTTTATGATCAGAGATCTAAACGAAATTCATGTATTATCGAACAATCAAAAAGAGAAAAGTGCCTCGCAGTTACCTAATTGACACTCATTTTGTTTTTTCAATAATCAGAACTAATCATCCGTAAATTACGTAATGTTATAGGAAACGTTATCAATGTCATTTTGGTTTGCATTGTAACATTTATATCATCTGAGTAGCGCACTTTTCAAGCTTGATCATTCCAGGAGATAATGATTCTGATAGTGGGATCCTATCGGATTCGTGTCGGAATCTTATCGGGTATCAACAGTGTCCAAGGACTGAGAAACAGGAATTCCTAATGTGTCGAGGAATTGTCAGTGTCGCTGTGATAATTCCTAGAGGAAATGGGAATCAACTATCGGTTTCCTCACAGTTCCACCATTCATGAAAGTCGCGATATTGCTGTTTTAAAAATAATTTTTGCATGAAATCATTGATTCTCACAATTTTTCAAGTGAAAATGAGTGTAAGTACAAAAATTATCGTGAATATTCCATATTCTTACCTTTAGTATGCAAGGAACTGTAGGGGAACTGATGAGGAATCCCTAATCCTCAGTCCCTGGACATCCCTCCCTTTCATTTATCAGTATGATAATGTTTATAAACATTTTTGAGTATTATCAATGGTCTATAATAGGGTGTGAGTTTTGAACAGTCTTTACTTGCACCTACATTTTCAATAATTGCAGTTCTTTTTTTAAACAATTGACCAAATCATAGGGTTAAAAAAATCTCATCGCCCATAATTACCAAAAAAGAAACAATTGAAACAAAATAAAAACAAAAACAAAATTACTTTTCACTCAAATAAATCAGACAAATAAAAAAAATGTGCTTTCATGTATTCATAGTTTATAATCTTGCGACATAAATTCCACATCCAGGTAATGTTGGAAAAATACTTTGCTCAGCTTTAACAGCTCGTTTAGTATCTTTACTATTTATGTAAAATTTATCGCGTACACTTGTAATAAATGTATGAAGATTTTCTTCTCGTACAAGCGAAACAGCACAACCACCCCATCCAGCACCTGTAAGACGTGATCCAAGAGCACCACTTTGTCTAAAAAACAAAAATTCATCTCATATTTCAGTAAAACAAACACAAAAATCAAATCAAATCATACATACCGGCATATATCAGTTAGTTCATCAAGTTCATTGCTACTACATTCATATAATTTGGAACAACTATTATGACTTTGATTCATTAATTCTCCCAGTTTTTCAAGTCGATCATGTGTATTCGAATCACATACTTGTTTAAAAAGTAAAACACGATTTGCTTCACTGAGAACATGTTTTATACGATTACATAATTCAAATTTTTGTTCTAAATTATTTCAGGATTAAAAATTTGATGTCAAAACCAGAGCTCCGCGTGGGACGTCCCATGGACGAGATGGGACGTACATTTTTAGAAAATTTTAAGCAGATAAGAAAGAATCGAAGTCTCGTTCGATGTGATTCTATTATATGCTTACTATCTCTATCCATTAAATTTGTATTTATTGACGTAAGTGACCGCTTTCAGATTTTATTCTCATATTTTAAAATATCTTCGGTATATGTTGTTCAATTTACCAAAAATATTTTTAAATAAATGTGGAAACTTCGGATTTCATCCGAGAGTTATGTGTACTGCAAAAAGTGCATGGGACATGAGTCATTCTAGAATGTCTGAACACCAAAATTATCATGAGAAACTAGGCAATTTGATTTCCGGATGCAGTTTTTGTGCATTTTGAGACGTTTTTCAGGAGAGGTGTCGTTAGAAAGCTACGATTTAGTTCAAAACTAATATCAGATTCGGAATCAGCGTTAAAAACTGAGTCGATTTATATATGTTGTGAATAATTCTGAGAAAAATTTGTCTTTTGAAAAAAAATCCATGTACCCCTCCTCAACGATGATCTGGTCAAAAATGACAATTTTTTCGATAACTCAATCATTTCTTGACGGATTGCTTTCATTTTCGAACTCGACTGAGATATTGATGAGATTATTCTGTGTACAAAATTTCATGACAATTGGATGAGGCTTTCAAAAGTTATCGTGTTAACAGCGGAACGGACACACTGACCGAATCTAGTGTACTCACTTTTTTTGAGTACACAAAAACGAATATAAGCTTTTAAAAGTAGGGGTGTATCAATCCCAATTCCAACCAATTCAATTCCTAAAATTAGTCGGAATTTAAATTGGTCTGAAATCGGTATAGATTTGGCTCTAAATGTGTATAATTAACTGAAATTGATGGTAAAGTTTGCCTGCTTGGGTAAGTGCTTGAATTTCCCAAAAATAAAATAAAGAAAATGGGACACAGTAAGGTGTTAAATCTGAAAATCGAGATTTTTATGATAGAAGCTACAACTCGGTGCACAATTAATAACATATTTGGAATCAGCGCAAAAAAACGGGTTCGAACAATGTATATTTTAAATACTTTCGACAACGTTTTTTTCTACCGAAAATCCACCTGGGTGCTCCTCAAGGTTCAGTCAAAAAATGAAACCAATCAGAAAGCAACTTTGGACAGCAGTAATTAACTGTGGAGCATGTAAAATGCTTAGTAATATAGAAAAAATCGCATGCCTGAGCTTTTATCATAAAAATCTCGATTTTCAGATTTAAGACCTTATGCATCCCATTTTCTTTATTTTATTTTTGGCAAATTCAAGCACTTACCCAAGCAGGCAACCTTTTTCAAAAACGCGTTTAAACACTCAATCGGGAACCGCAATTGTGGGTCATTAACGCTCATTAATGAAACGCAAGAAACGCGTTTTTTACGCAGAATTCTCACTTTCCGAACGTGAAAACGAGTAAAAACTCCAATTCCGAGCGTTTAAACGAATTGGTTTTTAATTTATCGAGTAATTGTGCGGTTAAACGCTCGGAATTGGGGTTTTTATTCGTTTTCACGTTCGGAAAGTGAGAATTCTGCGTAAAAAACGCGTTTCTTGCGTTTCATTAATGAGCGTTAATGACCCACAATCGCGGTTCCCGATTGAGTGTTTAAACGCGTTTTTGAAAAAGTTTGTCTGCTTGGGTACTAGTCAAGAATAATCAACGTTACCATCAATTTCAGTTAGTTATACACATTTAGAGCCAATTCTATACCAATTTCAGACCAATTCCATATCAATTCCAACTCCAACCAATTCTAAGTCAAGAATTGGAATTGGAATTGGTGCATCCCTATTTAAAAGCCATCTAAGACAACAAAATTAATTTTAATGGATAGCGATAGTATGCATATCAGAGAATCATATCGAAAGAGATTTTGATTCGTTCTTGTCTGCTTAAAATTTTCTAAAAATGTTCGTCCGATCCCGTTCAATGGGACGTCCCACGCGGAGCTCTCTGGTCAAAACAAAATTATCTTACCTCGATTCACATTCGGTTTTAAACTAATGCTAATTAATTCATCAACAGTAACACTTAATAAATCAGCTATTTCATTAAGTGTATAAGGTAATTTATGAAGTGTGTCAAGTGCAAATTTTTCCAATTCAGTTATCGTTAAACCGAGAGCAATTTGTAATTCAGAAGGTTTACGAATAGAACGCCAATCAAGATTTTTCGCGTGAGCTAATATCTATGAAATAAAACACAAAAATGATGTCAATGAAAAAATTGATTAGTCTCTTTTCAATACTTGTGTCGCTAATCGACATTCAGATACACGAATATTAAAATGATCTGATGCAGCTTTATTAAGTTCAGTCAACGAATGTGTAACAACAAAAGCACAACCAACTGGTAAAGTTACATCTTGAATTTTCAATGGATTAAAACTAATTAGCATTGCCTAAATGATAAAACTAATCGAAGTCGAATTGAACATAAAATAAAACATACTGAACCACTACGTGCAAGACAAGATGCTGCTTGATCCATTCCACCTTTCAAAAAAAACACAGTATTAGCGAATTTTCTATAAAAAAAATCTCATAAAAACAAGTACCTCCTTGTGTGCCAATATATTTTTCGCATTCAGCACAACGTTCTGCTAGATCAGTCTAGACATGAAAAATAATCATAGAAGAAAGAAACATGGAAGCGACGTATAAACCTTGCCAATAGTGATTCCATTAGCAATTGCCGTAGTCAAAGCAGCACAAACGACTAGAGCCGAAGAAGATGAAAGACCAGCGCTACGTGGAATCGTTCCATCAATTAATACTTTCATACCTATAGAAATTTTTTTATCAAAAGCAATTTCCAAAGAAAAAAACAAAAACTTCTATCTTTAGTATAGAAGAATTTTAGTCGTCAATATCTCTCTTTTGATACCTTTTAAGTTAAAATCAGGAAACTTATCATGAATACCTTGAACACCACATTTAAAATATTCATACCAATCAGATTTTTCGTATGAAATAGAAAATTTTCCAATAGTAAATGAACCCGCTCTAGCAAACAAAAGAAGATGAAGAATTTCATTGTGAAATAATCTACTCGAGATATCTTACTGAAATGATTCATCAGTATTACTGATTTCCACCTCATTATTATCACTTGCTGCGAAAACGGCTACAATGTCTTGATCAATTGCCATTGGTAGTACAGAATAACCACAATAATCAATATGTTCGCCTCAAAGAAAACAATTTTATTAAAAACCTTATAAACAAGATTTTCTCAAATAATTTTACCAATAAGATTCACCCGACCTGGTGCACGACAAAGAAATTGTGGTTGAATACCATTATAGACTTTTTTAAACTTTTCAACTAATTGTTTAAATCTTTCTTCACTTTAAATAAACAATACTCGATCGTAAACTCCTCAAAATCAAAGTAAAAACATACTTTGGATTTTGTGGAATTCCATCAGCTATCGAGACCGTATCCATTCCACTCTTTGTCTTTTTCTGCCGTTAATTTCAAATCTAAAAATTGTCTTATATCATCTGTATCTATGCTTTCTTTAATAGATATGTACAAACACGCACATTGGCGTTCTTTTTCTCATAGTTTTCTTTCATACAAACAATAATAATTCGTCGCATGAAAGACACACTGCACACACAAAAAAGTTACACATATTAAAGGGTTCAATCATACCAAGAGGAAAAAAAAGTAACAACAAAAAACACAATGACTTTCCATGTCAAAATAGATATAATATTTATATATGTATATATATATATACAGAAAAAGAACAGCGAGAATATTCATATATTTGTTTGTGTTTTCTATGTTATTCCTGTGTGATATCAAAGAAAGATAAACTGTTCAATGAAAATAGAAAACAAAAGCAAAGAAAATACGAAATTTCCGGAATGAAATTCACTCTCTATGTTTAATCATCATCATCATCATCATCATTTGAAATTTTTTTTATCAGACTTTCAAATAAACATACATTTTCTTTTCTTCATGTTTTCTTTCCACATAAACAAAAGACAAAAACAACCACCGGTACGCAGAAGAAGAAAACCTTATTGCATCAACGAAGCCATGTTCAAGTACATCCCAATGAGATTTTATAGAAAAAAACAAACAAACAATATTCATAAGAAATGTATATATATTTATATAAATAGATTTATGCTATCGTTCTTTAGTCCGTTTTGTTGTCGAAGTTTTCGATACAGAACAAACATCTCGTAAGGTATTTCCATGATCAAATAAATTAACAAGTAAACTGGATATTTGTGTTAATTGTTCACAAAAACAGCGATGTCGTTGGATATTAGCCTAAAACAATAAATATTGATTTAATTTACAGAACATTACTTATCATAGATTTATCTATTTCAATGAGCTAATAATAATAGAATATTCTCGCAAATAACACTATGAAATAGTACTTTTCAAGTGTCAGAATGATTTGACGACTGTAGCCTGTAATGAATTTTTTTTGACGAAGTCATAGGTAGGATATATAAGAATCGTTTAGTGCCCTGCTTAAAGATAAAATGTAATATATGGAAACACTATTGAACTCTTTGTTTTAATCTTAAAAAACACATTTTTATTTTGGTAACAGTCATGACAAAAGTGAAAGTATTTATCACGTATAACGATTCTATATTTTCTCCTAAGGAAAAAATCGAAGATTAGTTCTCACGAGACATAGATAATATCAAACTTTGTATGATTTTTTTTTTCTATAAATCTCGGCCACTCGAACTGTTGTTCTTGTGTAAAAGAATTTTTCGTACATGACTAATCACCATCAATCTAAAAATCTTCTTGATTGTTATTTATTTTATGAATTTGTCTCAATAAATAGTATGTATAAGGTCATTTAGGCAAAGCAACAAAACATTTAACTGTTGCCCTTTCATCATAATTCTGATCTAGCTTGATTAAATTTCACTGGTAGAAATATTCCTATCCCAGTTTGATCTCTCTCAGATGTTGTATTATAGTTATACAGAATGAAATCTTTAGTCTTTATTTATCTCACTTGTACTAAATCATCAATTGTAGTTCGTATTGATTCATCATCAATATCTATTGATTGAATCATATCTGACAATTGATTTTGTGTTATTTCTTCCTCTTGTGTCTAAAATAAAAATAGAAAATCTCATTTAAACATAAATTTTTAAAAAACGTTTCTAACCAGATCAGATAGATAGGTTGTTAGTCGATCAATGTGCCATGATGCCCATGGTTGATTTATTTTCTTTTGTATAATTTCAAGACTTTTTACAGGTACAGTTCTTTTAGCATCTAATCAGATACGGACAAAAAAAACCTTTAATTAATAAAGCAAAAGAAGCAATTTTATATACTCGTTCGAATAATATCTGAATATTTTTCATAATGATTTATTTTAGGTTTCCATGAAAAACGAGATACAAGTGTATTCATCGTTTTCGGACGACTTTTTGTACCAATCCAACGAATACCGGTTTTTTTATCAATATAAACAAAGTCTAAAGAACAATAAATCAATTTTATTTAAGAACTTATTTAATTTTTTACCTTGCGAAAGTCTTCTAAGAAGTTCATCATCAATTTGGTCAATAATAATATCAGAAGATGATCCATTCAAATGATCGGCTATTGGTTCTTGCTTAATATTTTCATTTGATATTATTTCTTGATTTACTTTTGTGATTGTTCTGCGTTTTCGTGATGATATTGTAGGACTAGATGTTTCAGTTGAATGACGTTTTTTTGATATTCCACTTGTATCAACACTAATCGTTGATATCAATGGAGTCGTTGGTGTTGTATTTTCAATAGAAAATTTTGATATTGGACGATTACGAGCATTAGTAAGTTTTTTTATGTTTATCGATGAATCTAACTGTTCATAATGAGGTAATTTATTAGGTGGTTCACCAGAATTTATTTGTTCACTATAAATAACAAAAAAGTTTGTGAATGAAAATTTTCTTCTTTGCAAATTCGAATACTTACTCCTCAATTAATTTATGTTTTTTTGGCGTTCGTATTGTTGTTGGTGGTGAAGATGATGCGGTAATTGTTGTTGGCATTGTTGCTAAAGTTGATGAAGCTTGTTGTGTTGATGGCTGTAATGGAAGTCGTGTTCGATTTTTAGTTGAAATCTTATTAGGATGAACTAGAAAAAGACAAAGACAAAAAATATAAATATAAATTTTAGTTTCATGTGTTGCTTTTACAGTTTTTATTTGTCGGTGAATCAATTAATTTTTCATCGGTTTGCATTTCACGAATAATTGGTGTTGTTATTGTTGTTGTTGTCGATTGATGATTATTATTATGATCCATTGAACGTTGTGTTGTTGATATGAGAACAGATGATGGTGACGATGAATATATGTGAGTTGTTGGAAGTGTAAATTGAAGTGATTGTTGAGAGGAATTTATTGATTCTGTATTTGATGTTGATGGTAATAATTGCATATGAATATAAGCTTGATGTCCAGAAGTATCAAAATTTTTTGTTGCATACGAATGTTGATGTGGAACTTGAACATTTAATGGTGTTATAGGATTTTCATTTGTTGTCGGAGATGATAGGCCAAAATGCATACTGATTGGATATGAATTTGAATTATCACTTTTCTCATTTTTTACATGAGTTATATGTGTCGAATGAGGATGATGATGTTGATGTTGATGATGAAGCTGTTCGGAAGAAGATAGTGAAGTCGGTATTAATTGAACTGGTCTCGAAAGCATTTTAGCTAGAAAAAATTATATTAATATATTTTTATTTTATATTTTTTAAAAACATGAAAAACTAAAAATATCCGTTGGAACTCAATAATAATAGTAATTCGAAAATGGCAATAACAGAAAAACTATTTAAATTAAAATTCTCATTATGAATAAACTAAATATTACTCATAATATACCGTCGCCTGAGTTCATAATACGGACTCGATTTGAAAGTTCTCAAACATATTAAGTAAATCAATTTCGACCAATACACTCAGACTTATCATAGGCTCAGAACTCAATGAAGTTTCTTTTTACTACAAACAACCGAACTATATTTTTTACAGCTGTCTGTTTTTTTCTCCAACAATATTTTTTATTGTTCAGGTTGTGTTTGATAAAAACTTCGAAAAACTACAGAACATTAAGAAAATACAGATGTATAAACTCCGATTCAATTCTAGTTATGAATTAAAAATTTTTCACTTAACCTCGTCAAGGCATCCGAGAAAAGATTCAATTTGTTTTCTATATCCAGTTTGATTTTAACAAAAACCGAAGCGAATAACACATATTGCTATAGAAGGCTTCAACGGATTTTAAATACTTAAAAAAAAACTTTCTTATCATAAGAGTTATATAAAAATCTCTTAATAATAAATATTAACTTAACGATTTATGATGAAACTGTCAAAGAAAGTGATTACAATATGATTGGAGCTCAAGTTATTATTTTACTTATACTCATCGTACATATATTGATATCAATATATTTAGTATTCGATTGAAAAATTCATATTTTTTCCAGTGTACAGTTAATTTCATTCTTTTCAAATTTATCTATACCGTCAAAGATTAAACAAAACAATATGCTATCTAGTGGTTTCATTCAAATATATATTCAATTAAAATATTAAATGACGTATATATTTAATTCTTTCATAGTAACTCGTTTTCGTCTAAGATTAACAAATCATTAATTAATAAGTAATTCTGAAATCGAATAGATCATTTCGTTAACTCTATATTTAAAGATACGATTTCACAGTAGAGATTGTCTAAGAATTAAATTTATATGAAAATAAAACAATCAAATCAATTACCTGTCGGTAGAATAGAAGACGGTGGTATCGAAACTAAAAAACACAAAAAGGAAATTTTTTGTTCAATAAGAATAATACAATTAAACTAACAAATTTTAGTTGCTTGAGGTTGTTGTTGCTGCCAGAAATTATTAGACGTTGTTGATGAATTTGTACTTTGTTGAATAACTAATTTAGGTGTTACATTATTCGTTTGTTTAGTATTATTCAACGAATTCGTTGATGATGACGATGAATTTGTATTTGTTATTATTGGTTGTACAAGCGTAACACGATTTTTCGATAAAAAAACCGATTGATTCGTATTTGTTGATAATAATTTATCAGTTGTTGATGTTGACATATCATTTGTTGAAGAGATTGTTACACTATTTAATGTTTGAATTTTAGGTGATGTTGTTCCCGGTGGTATTAATGTTAATACAGACGATGACGATGAAGAATTCGTTAGTATTTGCTGTTTATTTACTGTTGTTGTACTGCTCTGTTGAGGATTTAATATATATGTTTTTGATGTTGAAAAACCTCCATTTGTTGTTGATGATGATGATGACGATGATTTATCAGTTAATTGAAATTGTAAATTTGTTGGTGGTGATGATTTACCAGTTGAGGTAACAAGACGAATAGATGATGGAGTTGTTGTTGTCGTTGTTGTTGTTAAATTTGATGATGATGCATGTCTAACATTATTATTTGTATTATCTAGATGTGAATCAGCTTTAAGAAGAAAAAAACAGAAAAACCATATGAGCATTTGAAATTTATTTATTCAAATAAAATAAACATACGAATTGATAATTTTTTAACAATTGACAATGGACTTGCCACGCCGGGCATTGATATTGTAGGTAGAAGTGGTTTTGGATGCTGAAAAAAAGAAAACCAACGATATTAATATAGATAATATCCATGAAAATGTTAAATAACAAACCAATTTTAAACCAGAATAAATTAATGTTGCTGCAGTAGTTGTTGACAACGAAGATGAACAATCAGTATCGTTCGATAATTGTTGTTGTTCGTTTAAAACATCACTCTGCATTGGTAATAATAATCGTCGGTGTGAACATATGCGGACTGTCATACACAAAACTAGAAAATAAAAAATATATTTTTTTATTTATTATTATTATCTGAATAAGAATTGCCCAAAAACAAACGGCAAGAAAAAAAGAAATCGAGAGAGAGAGAGAAAGCAGCAACAGCCTACCCCAGGAGTGCAGCGATGTCTTTTGGCTACATATGCGTATAGTGAGAGAGAAAACGCATGAGTCTCGCTTTTTTTTTTCTTTCTTTTTTCTTCCTTTCTTTCTCTCCTCCTATGCGTTCCTTCCATCTATCAAAAGGTTTAGTTCGATAGTCGTTTTTTTTCTTTTCTTTAGCTTGTGTTGTTTTCTCTTCGTTCGAGCTCGGCAGCGGTGGTAGTTATAGTCTAGATATATATATATATATATATATATTAATGACAATCTCGGGCATCGTGCGTGTGTGTACGAGAGGCATGCCTGACCTACACTGCATTGCATTATGATTGGATACGAGCTACGATGTAGGAAGAAAAATATTTGACAACGTAAAGAAAAGAACACAATCGTGCACTCGATAGAATATGCCTATTCTTTTGCTTTTCGTTCAGTTTCTTGATGAGATAACAAAAAACAATTGTGTTATTTTTATCTTTAAGCATTTGTTTTTCATTTTTAATCATAACTCAAAGCTAACGATTTATTCTTGGACTAGAAACCAGCTGTAATTCGTTTTTAAATCCGTTTTGTATCAATTTTTTCTTTTCGTATATCTGTTCTCCTTTTGTCAAATCATTCTGATGTCGACGAACAGAAGAATAAAAACTACAAGTAAATGCAACCAATGTGTCGTTTTTTTTCTTCTTATCGTCAAACGACTACTCTCGTCTTTACATTTACTCGCTTGATGTGCTCGGACGCGTGTAGACAGACAGCAGACATGTATAAAAAAAAGACGAAGAACATAAAATACATGTTTAGATAGATTCATCCGATTCGATAAGTAACTAAAACTTTTCATGATTAGCTTTCTGTTCTTTGATGTTGAAGTTGAATGATAAGAACTGGTGATAAATTTCCATGACTATTTGACTGTCTAATGATGAAATGATTTGGTTTTTAAATATATTTACATTTACAAATGATGCTATGCTAAAAATCAACGACTATTTTCTTACAGTTTAAAATATTTAACGAATATAATTGATTCATGTATGTGTGTATGACTAAGAAATTATTCGATTGTCTTTCATACGCAAAATAAATGTTCTATGATGTCATCACAAATGTATAAAAATACGGATGTAAATAAACAACATCACAAATAAAACAAAACAAAACATAAGCGTCATTAAATGTAATAGCAAAACGAGTGAAGTGGTGATTGGTTAACTGTTGAATGCATACGATTAGAGCATTTATGCACATTGTAAAAAGTTTTAGATTAATGAAGAACGATGTTACACTAATTTTTTAGATGCGAATTTTTTATATTAATATGAGGAATCAACTAATTTTGTTTTAGAATGGAGTTTAGATGATCATTTTTTATTGGTCAATCGCTTGACGGACAGCGTGTGCTTGCAAAAGTATTCGTGAAAAACCGATCTGTGTAATATTGTGAAATTGAAATTACTAGCAAAACAATGGGTATTCCATTGGATCAACAATTCAAAATTGAGAAAAAAGGTATCATGGAAGAGCGTCTTCCTGTTTTGGTAAATTTTAATCGAAATAAATTATCTTGTTGATACTTTTTCTACTTGTTATTACTATCTAGCATCCATCTGGTATGGAACATCATTATTTTGTAACATACATTTCACTGCCACCAGATGTTGAAGATGGTGCAGCTGTTGAACAATGGACCGAACGAATGACATTTATTCAAGAGGATCTGTCATGGCTATTGCAACAGGATCATACGAAATTTTGGTGTGAAGTTGGTATCAATTTAAAAGATTATTATTTTTCTACTAAATTGAATGCCTAATTTTAGGTTGCTTTCAACAAAGATTTTCATTCAATGCTTGATTCTTATCTGCGATATGCACCGCGGTAAATATTCATAAGCTAACTATTGTCGTTTTCATTTAAATAATCTTGTTAGACCACAACGGTGCATTGGTATAGACCATTATTCTTCTATTAAAAATGGCAAAGAATTAGAAGATTCTGTTTCTCGATTAATGTTCATGTGTATACTTCGACTTTCTACACATAAAGAATCTGCCGTATGTTTCTATTCATTTCTATTTTATCTATTATATTTTATTTTATTTTAATCAATAAAATAGGAAAATTTCTTTACACCAGAGGGATTTGGTCATGTTATTTATGATAACTACATCTTTGATATTCCTCGTTTATTTGATATATGTTCATTATATGCAATTAATAATAAAGAACTTTTAAGTAAAATGATTGGAAATATTTTTAAACAACAAGAAGGTTACACTCGAGATCTTAGTGATGCTATTAAATCGATTAAAGATGTAAGTTTCTAACAGATTTATTTATGGATTTTGAGTTTTGAGAACGGAAAAAAACAAATAACTCATGAAAAAGTATTGCACATTTGCATCTTTGCGATATTTTCGTGACCGTCATAGCCAGGGCGACGTTGAAAACAAATTTCAGTAAACTAAAAGATTCGGAGCTGATGTAATTACCATTCCAAATGCATTTTCAGAGCTGTTCAAACAAGTTCTCTTCTATTTTTAATAATAATACTTGCGATCTTGATATTGAAATATAACCCACCCACCAAAAAAAAAAATTTCTTTTGGGACAATTGAGTTTCAATAAATAATCGACTCAAGCGGTTCTTTCCTTGATTAGCTGTGAAATATTTCAAAAAAAAAATATTTTTCAGCAAAATTCGCCTCCAGTTAACTATCTGCAGGTGTTTTGTGGTAAATTATAATTTACTTAAGAAAAACATCAGCACTCATAACACAGGCTATTTTTAAAAAATAACAACGAACTAATAGACCTCAACTAACCTACGGTAAAATAAATACACTTCAATAAATAAAAAAGACACTCGAAGAACGTCTCTTTTTGCGTAACAGAATTTGTTTTCACAGATGAACTTATTTACGAAAAAGTTGTCAAATTGATATGAAGCGATGATTTGATAAAAAGAAAAAGAAATTTTCATAAAAATTCGATCGATACCATTTTCCCTGTAATACAATCTTCATGATAACTTGATTTAACAATTTAGGTTATTACGAAACGAATGAAAGTATTTCTTACTCAAACTGGTCCAAAAAAACTACACACAACAGCAACAAGCAGCTCACAGGAACTTATTGATTTACTTTATTATATTCTCGATTTAAGTTGCACAATAAATCGATTTTTATCTGTTAATCCACAAAGCAAAATAACATTTTTTCATGAAGATTTTCATTTAACGCAAGTATGCTCGTGCGTATGAAATCAGATTACAACGATATTTTATCGTTTTAGATTAATTCATTCATTTGAAACATTTTTACGTGCTTATGAACGAGTTCAACAATCAAATGAAATATCCGATAATATGTAATTTGAAACAAAATAAAATTTAATCCAAATTGTTTTTCTTCTTTCTCATCCAGTGACATATTCGAAGAAGCAAAATATGAAACTATAGTATTATTTAATGATCTTCTTGCATCCTGTTGTGTTGATCCATTACTTATTAATGAGTAAGATTAAGTCGAATTCCAAAAACGAAAATCTTCATTTTAATATTCTATGTAGAAATAAATCAGAAAATGTTGAATCAATCAATAATATATTTTCATTATTGATTACTGAAAAACGATTTCTAGCTGCATATGAAGATTACTTCAGCCTTGATCAAATCATTGATATCGTTCATCAAACAACGGATCTTTTGTAGGACGAATAGTTACAATAGATATTCATTGAAAAGTTATTCATAATGTTTAGAGATGATCAGCAAATAAAATTTTATACAGATGGTGTCAAACAAGCGATTGAACTCTATGGAACACCATCATGTCAACGAAAATTAATCTCAGAACAACCATCGGTGAGATATATACAACAAATTCTTTTCATTTTCATTAAGACAAAATTGAATATTGACTTGAATATTTTGAAGTTCTTTTTCAAAACCTTAAGGGTGTTAGCTCGCACAATGAATGTAGCTACTAGTTGGAATTACAAAAAGAATCTTTATAACAAGATTAAAGAAAATCGAATCGTCACAATATTCTTCAAAACCAATTTTTTACAATCCAAAATTCGCTAGCACTAAACCTATTTTGATTATCTAGAATAAAAGAATTTTCGAAATTCTTCATGATGTTTCTTAACGAAATTACAGATTAAGAGAAACACTCTTAGCTCTTGATTTTCTTAGGGAGATGTAGATGAAAAGAACGTGTGAGCCGTTGTTAATATTTATATCACTGTATAAAGAATTAGTACATTTTTTACCTAATGAAATGAAAAGAATTTTTTTTCTTCTGATAATATGCGCTGAAAAGTTACGCTTTGAGTTCTGTTTAGAAAAGTGATGTCAGTTGTATGCTTCTGAAGTTCTTTCGCAAGATATCATGACGAAAACAAACTTTGTGCACGATGGAGTTTCGTTGCTGCGGAAAATTTTCTAATAGTGACTAGAGAAAGGAAATTTGCTTTCTAGTCGGATAAAATTAATGTTAGAATTATAATAGAATCTTTAAGTCAAGAGTTGTAGCAGAAAATCCGACCCTAATTTTTTCTCACTTGAAACGCATAAATCTAATTTTGCCGGAACTGGTAGGAAGAGAGTATAAATGAATCTCAAGAAAATGAGACATTTTCAAGCGGTCTACTATGTGTTCTGGATGCTATGTGATAGAGATGAGGAAGCTCCTCAAGTACTTTTTTGTAAATTCATTCCTATAGGAAAAAAAATCATATTCGATCTTCAATCGACTCAATATCCAATGCGAAAAATGTCTAAAAGATATTTTTTGTGCTGCCATTCTATGAGCCCATAAAAATTCATATACGTGCGCGCTAAATGCTCAACTATCAGAAGTTGAATCTGTTGAAGACTCATTCGTTCAACATCTGATAATCATTATAATTTCATTGGACCCTTGGCATAAAACTAATTAAATAATTTTTGAAGTTACTATTTATATATATATACAGAACCCTTTCTATAAAAAATAATCTCGTATACTTTAGAAAGCATTGATTTTTTTAATCTAAAAGAAATAATCAAATCTTCTGAAAATCTTAAATTACTTACTGAGAAATGGGATAAAAGGTTAGCACAGTCGTTCACTTATAATAATACTTTTCAATGAATTTATTGATAAGATTTCATAAAAAAATTCTTTATTTTTAGTCATCCCAACCATCTGCATCTAGCAATACTTTAGTGAAAAAATCGACAAATCCTGATATTCAAAAAATTCAAGATATGTTTCCTCATTTAGATGAAAAATATATTCAAGTAAGTCTACTAAATTCTTAGAATGAAACTAAATGGTTATTTCAAAAGTTTTAAACCCATCTTATCCATAAAATCAAGTGTTTTAAGTGTATCTTCAAATGTTTCAAGTGAAACAGTTGAATTTTGTTGTTCATCAGTGAATTCGCCAAGGACCTTTTCTGCTATAATCGATGCTTCTTCGTCACTAATTTTACCAACCTAATAGAAAAAGAAGAAGAAGAAGAGTACATATTGGTTTAAACTTTCTTATTGACTTACCATCATTTTAAGTGTTTCCTGTATGTCTTCTTTCGATAGACGTCCATCACGATCAATGTCGTACATCTAAAATATTGACGTCCCTTGTATACGAAACGATGAAAAAAGTTAATTTTATTCATACGCGAAACATGAATTTAATTTTTCGTGTTTTCGGCGTATCATCTGCAGAGTATTTCACATTTTCAACATCGGTTCCTGTTGAAGATCCCATTTGGGGAGTATTATTTGTTGTTAATGTTTGAATTGATGAGCGACGTTTGGCATGATGATGATGAAGGCGATGATGATGTTCATGTCCACCTCGTTCACATTGACTAAATGTACTCATAAAAGTAACAAATTGAGGAAATGTTAATTTTACATCCGAACCAAAATCATCGAAAATAACTTTTATTAATCGAGGCGCTATAGGATTTTCATCAAATTTTGGTACACGACCAAAATCATTTTCATCTAAATAGCCTTTACATCCTTTAGTTTCACCTCGCTCATCACAATCGAGTTCATAAAAACGAGTCCATAAGGCAGATATTTGTTTTTTTGAAAGTCCTAATAAAATCAAAATTTAGTTTTATATGTTTTTTTTCTCAAAAATTTTATTTTACCTGTATTATTTATAATTTCATCGATATTAATTGAATCCGGTATAGATGGTCTAGCACCCATATCTATTTTAGTTTTTTTCTTTTTCGTATGTCTGAAATTAGATTCTTTTCATAAAATGGCGAACGTGTTCTAAATGTCAAGCATACTTTTTTAAACGAGAAAAAGAATAAGAAAGAATCCGTTTTTTTTCTCGAACACGTACAAATGCATATAGTGATGCATGCAATCACTATTATCATTGTGACCGATTCAAGTATAATGCAAAACGTGCGGGTGGGTTGAGATGAAGATGAAAAAAAAATGAGAGACAGAAAGAATTATTTTTTCTTTTTGTATGGAATATAAATGAAGCAAAAAGAGAGTAGAAAAGGATGTGAGGAAAAGTTCGAATAGTTCTTCGCAGTTGTAAAGACGGAATTATATCTTTCAATTATATCAAGTGTTCCTATTCAACTTACCCTCGTAACAAGAAAAATGAAGAAATTTGCTCTTTTGCATTTTGAAAATACCAGCATAAATAAATAAAGTCACGTTGATGTAACAGGAATAGCTCGTATTGTATATTTTATTGTTTCTATATTCTTATGTTTTTTTTTTAATTATATCGAATGTAAATACTTGATTGCCAAATACAGGAATAAAACTACATAGAAACTATACAAGATTACAAAAGAAAAACACTATATATATATATGATAGACTATGACATCTAACAGATGATAATTGCTTACAACTGCGCTATTTCTATTATCAGTTCTCTTTTTTTCGCTGTTTTTGTTGCACTGATTGTCTATGAATAGAAGAAGACAATCAGTTTTTGCTAATATACGCAGTCAACAAGAAGATAATTATTCTAATAGATTATAAATACAGTTGCCAATTATCTGCAAGCATAATCCAGAAAAAACCTTTGATAGACCTAATTAATCTTATATTAACTCATAACAAAGCTATAGATAGTAAAAGTAACTGTGATGATTTCTCTAGACATGCCTTAATCATTATAATAACAACAATGAACGTCTTGTAAATGCTCTATGTGATGGTACTGTGCCTGAACATTTACAATTCGAAGCACCAAGTGCAACAACGTCATCAGTAGCATCTGCAACAATGTCTATAAATGAAAATAAAGATGAAAACGTATTCCCTAGTGAAAATTCATCTATACTTGAGCAACGTTCAAATATATACGATAATGATGAATTTGATATATTCAATCGAGGCAATTTTGATATTACAAGAATACATCGAGGAAAAAAGTTTGTCAAGCTATTTTCTTTAGTGACCTTTGATGTAATTTCTATTGCATATATTTTTTGATTGTTTCAGAACACGAGACACACTCGAAGTTTTCAATGATAAATCTCATCTGGAAGGAATGAGTGAACGATATTCTCGTTTAGGTATTGTTGAAGACGAAACTGATGGAGAATATGATGATGAATATGATGATACTTATGATGATGGAATTGTTGCTGTTAGAGATAAAGCTGATACAATTGATAACGAATTAGAAAAGAATGAAAATAGGTTTGAACATTCATCATTGTTGTAGTGGAAATTAAAATTCAGTAGAATTTAAAATCCTACTAGTAGAAATTGAAATTTTAGTTTCTACTATAGGTAAAATTCAGTAGAATTTCAATTTCTACTAGTAGAATTTTAAATTCTACTGAATTTTAATTTCTACTGCGACATCATTATTTTTGTTTATAAGATAATCCTTATATCGTTTTTTCATTAGATTATTTGGAAAGAAAGCTCAACACTTTCGCCAACAAACAGATGATGATGACGACGACGACGACGACGGCGAACACAATCAACGCAGACAAGTACTTTTCTTTTTATCATAATTGGTTTTGTATATTAATATGAAATATGAATTATTTAAAGGATAAGTCTCGCATTCCATTTGTTGAAAACCCTGAAGCAGTTCGTGAACGAAGAGCACAACAACGTGCAGCATGGCAGCAACGCCATCAGCCACATCGATCGCATACTGATGAAAAACATGATGTTGTTGGTAATGCTCGTGGTCGTGGTCAATCGACAACAGTTGCGCATAATCGACGTTGGAAAGATGCACATGGAAATCATAATCGTCGAGATCGAGCTGCGCAAAAATCTAATCGTGGATTACTTTCTTAAAAAGACAACTCAAATTTTTTTTTTTGTATTTTAAATAAACTTCTGTTATTTTAAAATTATAGAAATATTTATCTTCGTTTTTCCTCTCTATATTTAAGATGACTAGCGATAAACAAGAAAAAATCGACGAACAACTTCGTCCATTATATGCTGAATTACAAAAATATGGACAGACACAAGATTGGGATCGAGCATTGAAAACTACACGAAAAAGTATAACTTGTTGTACAGATTTATTTCGCAATTCTGTTTTTTAATTCTAAATAATTAGTATTGGGTATTTCAAGTAATGAAAAAAAAGCAACACAATCTAAAATCATTTGTTTGATGCAACTCGATAAATTCGATGAAGCGTATGGTACAATGACAAAAAATGCAAATGATACAGCGTATGTACTCGGTGTGTTTTCTAGAATGAGAGAACAATGTATGTTATTTAGGGATTTATTCTTTGAACGTGCTTATTGTGAATATCGTCTCAATCGAATTGAAGATGCTTATAATACATTAAAAAGTATCGAAAGAGACTTAAGTGAACGTGAACAAGAACTTCTTGCTCAAGTGGTTTGTAGAGAATTTTGCTTTTGTTTCCCGAAATATTTTTTGTTGTTTTCATTTTCAATAGCTTTTTAAACTCGAAAAATACAATGAATGTGTTGATTATTATCGTTCATTGGTCAAAAACAATGCGGATGAGTATCAATCAACACGTCAAGCAAACTTTATTGCTGCTTTAGCAACTTGGAAATTAACCGATCCGTCATGCAATGTTCAATTGGTATATTGAATTAGTTTAACATTAAAAATGAAAGTTTATTTTTATTAATTGAATTAGGAATCAAATGATCTAAGTGATGAAACATATGATACAACATACAATTCAGCATGTGTTCTTCTTAGTTCGGGTAAATATGCTGAAGCAGAAATAAAACTTCGAAACGCTGAAGGTAAGAAATAGGAAAAAGAATTTTTTCTTATCGAAATATTTCCGATTTAAATAGCTCAATGTCGACGTGAATTGGAAGAAGAAGGAGATATGAATGAAGAAGAAATATCACGTGAAACAGCGAACATTCGGTAAGTTTCTTTCTAAACGCATCCAATGAAAATTTGCTCTTTGGTTTTTAAATGTTAATTTGATTGGAGACGTAATATCTTTTTCATACTGAATTACAACCTTCTTAATTGATCTATGTCTTAGACTTTTATTATGTTCAGAAAACAAAGTTTAACGAATTATTCTTCATCAATAGAGAAACAATCAATTCTAATTAGATTAATACAGTACGACCGAATAATTTTAATGTCAAGTATCATTGTAATATCTACTGGTTTCTATCAGATGATAAATAATTAACAAGAGATAGGAATCTCTACTTGACTATTTCCACTCTGAATAACTTTCGCAAAACAAATCAATAGATATAATTTATTAGTAGTTGCACTTACGCTACTAATGAAAGCTTTTGAACATAGATGCATTTGATGATAACTGTAGCAAAAAACCATTCTGTATCCAAACATTTTTTTCGCGATTATATTTCTATTCAGAAAAAAAATTACTAAGCAATACATTTTGTGTAGTTGCCACTGTTCTTTATGTTGTTGTATCAATAAGAAATTTAAAAAGTATTATTATGTTCAAATTGAGTCTCTTCTAAATATTTTTCCTACTTGTAATATGATTCAGTTTCAAATAAATTACAATTCGTATAAAAATATGTTGACTCTATTTTGTATATATTATATTTTTACTTTCTCGCATATATCGCGTTACAAATATTAAAAATTCTCTCGATTACAATGTTAAAAGCAATTTTCTTGTAATTCACATTTAAATTGCAGTGAAGCAAAATAATATCTAGTAAATATTGCTGAATTGAAAAGTCATTTTAATTAGAGTCTAGTTGAATTTAAGAAATAGCAACTTAGTAGTATATTTTATCAATATTTTGCAGTCGTTGAATTCAACGAGTGCCCGTGTCACGTGTTTCATGTACGTTGATAAAAACATTTTCGTTCGTAAGTTGTTCTTTATTTTGTGCTTCTGACGATATGATGTGTTCGTCTTTTTCTTTATCGTTACTTTACTTTATTTTTTCTTTCTGTTATTCACTATTGAAACATTGTATTACAAGGATTGCGTTGATCTCAACGATAGAAAGATACAGGGGAAAAAAAATTTTCTTCTCAAATTAACATTTAATTGAAAAGAAAAACAACCTTGTCTGTGATATATATATATATATATATATATATATATATTTGAGAAAAGTTGAAGAAATTAACCAAAAAAACAAAAACATTTCGAGAGAATTCTCTAATTTAGTGCAATATTGAGCTACTTGATTGAGATAAAACACAAGAGTCAAACACTCAATAATACAAGTTATTATTTTTGAAGTTAGAAAGAGAGAGCGAGAGAGAGGCCTATTTCGATTCAAAGATTGATATTTACAGCATTACTTGTGACAATATTTGTAACAACTTAATAAACATGCATACAGCTGTGTAGTCAAACATCGAAAATAATTCATTTTCATTTCAAGTTATCATCATGATGATTTTTTTTTGAGTAAGATTCTTCGGACATGAATAAAAATTTCTATTTTTAAAAACGTTTCTTTGCAATTTTCTGCAGTTATATATTATCTACTTAGTTAACTCTTTTCTGAACTGACATTCATTTGCTGTTCACTTCATATTTTAGAGTACAATTAGCTTACTGTCTTCAACAAGAAGATAAAAATGTCGAAGCATTAACACTGTATAATGATGTACTCAAAACAAAGTAAAATTTCTTGATGTAATCTTGCCATATTCGTTTACTTTAAATTTTAGACCAACAGATTTAGCTGTTATTGCAGTTGCATCAAATAATTTAGCTGTACTTAATCGTGATCAAAATTTGTTTGATTCACGCAAACGTATTAAAACAGCAACAGCACCTGAAACTGAACCAAAATTAAATGCTTTTCAAAAGAAAATTCTTCAAGTTAACGAAGCATTACTAGCTATTTATACTGGACAGGTAAATATTCAAAAAACAAAATAAATAGAAAAGATATCTGCCTCTCATGATAAATCGATTTTCTTATGTCGAAATCAAGCTTTAGATTATTTCGATAATTTATTTTGCGTCAACTTTTAAACGATTCTTTCGAAGAAAAAAGAACCTATAGCTCCCAGCAACCATCCACTATATAGTGATCTAACGTGCTGGTAGAGAATTATGACAGTCAATCTAATACTTAGTTTATAGATTTCACAAAATAACTTCCTCAGAAAATCATCGGAAATTTTCAGTGACTAAATTCGAGAATGGTAAACGTTGATGATTACAAAACTAATTCTATTTGGCGTCAATTGTTATTTTGTTTCGTTTACTTTAGCATGAAACAGCTCGACGTATTCTTGATAAAATGGTTCAAAAAAATAATGATACAGATGATAGTGTTCCATTGGCGAAAGTTTCATTGTTAATGAAAGAAAAAAAATTACCTGAAGCAACTCAATTATTACAAGTAAATTTATGGAGATAACAATCATGAAAATAAATTTTTCAATTTTTTCTTCTAGGAATTTATTGAAAACGGCAAACAACGATCTATTTCACTTTATTGTCGTTTAACATATGTACAGCTGCTTCTATCACAAGGTTTGCATGATAATAGTCTTAATCATTATTCATTGTGAAAATATTCGCTTTTTAGGAAAAGTTAACCAAGCATGCGATTATTTAAGAAGTGACGAAGAATTATTAGTTAAACCAGGCATTGTACGAATTTTATTTTTTGTCTTTTATCTTTTTCAACAAAATTAATCTTCTTTAACTTATTTCTAGGTAGCAACATTAGTTACACTCTACAATTATTTAGAAGATACAAAATCTGCTGCACAAGTTCTTAATGAAGCTGTTGATCGTTTATATAATCTCGATCGAACTAAAGGAAAACATTCACGTGCACTTGCTTATTTAATTAAACAAAATATAATTTATCAAGAAAAACAAGGCAATGGAAAACGAGTCACAGAAATGCTCGAAATACTTCATAAGTATTTATTACTTTTATTTGTAGTTTTTTAGCATTTCTATTTGTCCTTATGCTATTTAGACTTTATCCAAACGATACAAATACTTTATCAAAATTAATCATTCATTATTTAAAATCTGATCCTGAACGAGCTAATTTGTTGTCACAAAAGTTACCATCAATTAAACAATTAGCTGAAGGCATCGATGTTGATACACTCGAATCAACATTTGGTAAACGAGTAACAAAAGCAGAAAAAACTATTGAAAAGTAATTCATTCATTTGTTAATTATCGGCAATAAAGAAGTATTTATTTTTGTTTTACAGAACGAAAGCAAGTGATTCAGGATCGACAGCAACTACGACAGTCACGACGACAAGTGCTGAAAAAAAAAAGAAAAAACGAAAACGAAAAAGTAACCACATTTTTATCGCAAATATTGATCAGTGCAGAAGATCATCTTTATTTTTTAAGTTCGTTTACCAAAGAAATATGATCCAACATCAAAACCGGATCCTGAACGTTGGCTGCCATTACGTGAACGTACATATTATCGTGGTAAAAGAGGAAAACGTGGTAAACAAGCTGCTGTTGGTAAAGGTACTCAAGGTGCAGTTGGATCTGATCAATCAGCTACTACTACTATAACAACCTCGACAGGAGCTCAACGATCTATGCCATCATCAAAAGGAACAGGAGCATCGGGTTCAAGTGCTACTCAGCCGAAACCAATGCCCCCATCCGGAAAATCGGCAGCATCTAAGAGAAAAGGCAGACGCTAAATATTGTTTCGTTTTTTTTAATTATTGTCATTGGCTTGCATGGATAAAACTTTTTAGAAATAAAAAACATTGATTCTTGATATAAGAAAAATTGACTAGAAATATAGTTAAGTAAATAATCAATAAGAGAAATAAAAAACCTTTCTTATGATTTCGTTGGTATTTACCAAAAATATTACGTCAAACAGGTACACGATATTGCGCTTATCATCAATGCAAACATTTCTTCCGACATTGTGCGTCGGTTGTCAAGTCTCCACTTATTTTTTCGACAGCAAATTTCGTTTTATGAAGTTTGAAGTTACTTTTTGTTGATAGAGGTTTTTTGAAGGTGTTACTCATCGTGAATGTTCTAGGAAGTGAGTGACTCTTCCAATAATAACTTCAAATGGAAAGCATATATACAATTACCATTTACGTAGGCTACCAACATATTTGATTATTGGCTAGCCATAAATCTGTCCTATTGTAAGTCTGTAAGCGATAAGAGCAAACACAACAGAGAGATAAACGAAACAAGCTTAAATAAAAGTATTGAATTGTCGTCTTTATCATTTGTCCATTTCAACTGAACAGTAAACATTTTATTTTTAACAACAAACATTTTTAGTTGGCATGCTGACTGAACGTAAGCTCCCCCGATATATCTCTGTTACGAAATGATGATTACATTCTGTTTCGTTTTTATCTCGATATAGTTAGACCTGTACCAATAACAAACAGTACACATAGCTGTTGCACTTTATCGCATATTCGTCGTGGTGTTCATCCTATTGCCTTAGAAAATGATTTCCATTCTGATTATGCTAATAATTTAGGTAAACAACGACAAAAACTTGAGACTTATGTTTTTAACAAATTAGAAAAATACTCGGAGAAAAAAGTTACAAATCTTTTACATTCAACGTCTTTTTCTCATATACGTCAACGTTTAAAAAGCGATATTAAATCATTTTCTGGACAATTCGATCAAACTATTGTATCCCAAGATAAACTTTTTCAATGGATCGATGAAATTCTTGAACAAATTCAATCGCATATAACACAATTACGATCATTATTTGAATCACAAGATGGTCTTGAAGATTTGCTTAAAAACTATAATGTTTTTTCATCGAACAATGCTAATAATCAATGGCAACAATTACAATTACAAAAAGCAAAAACAATTTTACCCAATAATGTCTGTAACAAGGATGAAGAAATTTTATTGGCATATCAAAAATATATTATGGAAAAATTTACACCAAAAGAACTTGTAGATAATAAAATTCCATTGAAAAATCAAGAAAATATTCATTTAAATGAAGAATATAAAAAAGCAGAAGATTTTGGACGACAATATTTAACAAAAATGTTAGATGCTTATAAAATACGTCAACGTCCCAAGTTGAAGTTAGTTCAAGAAATGATTGATCTTGGAATGAAACATATGATTAAAAGACCAACAAAAGATGAATTTCGACAAGCATCAATATCATCAAATATTCTTCACAAAGCAAATTTTATTCTCAAAAGTAAAAAATCATATTCGATGTCGCTTCAAAATATAGCTGATGATTTTATGGTTAGTATTTATTATCTTGTGAACTAATACAGATATTTTCTGTTTTACAACTGAAAATAATATTAACAACAAACTCATCATACTAACTCATAATTCAGATTCTAATTTAATATCGAATACTAATCCGATAGAAAAATCAACCAAAACTACATATCGAACAAGATCTTTGCTGTGAAATCATCATTTTTTTGTACGAAATTTCATTATGAGTAGAGATTTTCGAGTTTAACTTCGTTGAGATTTTTAATTATCTAACACCTGAGAAAACAACTGCTTCGATAGATAATGAAGAGAACTATTACATGTCATACAAATCAATTTTGGGATTGATGAAAGTTAACCACGAGGATAGATAAGCACGGAAAGTTAAGCACTGGAATTATAAGCACCGATAAAATGAACACGAAAGAAAAAAAACTTGAAAAAATAATCAATAGACATAAATCAATTTATGTTAATTAGATCGTATATAACATAACAACATAAACATAATAAGTACAAACTCTGTACAATAGTCTAATTATTCACACGAAATGAATGAAGAGAACGTAATTAATTGTGCGTTTGGGTACGTGGGTGCTACTCTTATTTTACTTTTTAGTGACACCCACACCCACACTAGGGGTGCAATAGTTCAGCTCTAGTTCTGAGCGTGGGAGCTGTTCGAAAGCTCATTTCGGTATGAGCTGATTGTTTTAAACAGCTCCTTTCAAAAGAGCTGATCTGATCGAACAGCTCTCTCTCTCTAAAGAACAGATTTGGATAGTATTTTTGGCTTAATGCCAATCAGTTCTTGAGAGAGAGAGAGAGCTGTTCGATCAGATCAGCTCTTTTAGAACGAGCTGTTCAAATCAATCAGCTCCTACCGAAAGAACGTTCGAACAGCTTTTTCGCTCAGCTCAGCTGAACTTTTGAGCTGGAGCTGATGCACCCCTAACCCACACTCTGTCATAGAATGTAAATAAATTTATTGAGTCAGGCAATACACTGTATCTGTATGAGTTTTGTTTATTCGTGCTTAATTTTCCCTGCTCATCTTTCCTCGTGCTCAACTTTCCGGTTCCCTAAATTTTGATATAGTAGCTTTCTCTCACGCAAGATCAGTGCAACAAGAAAAGATTACTAGGATAGAATAAATACTAGTTTCATATATCTTTAATGTGCGATTAAATTTGTTTTTTAAATCTCTATCTTGATAACTTCTATATTTAAGAGTCATCACTATCATTCTGACAAATATGTTTTGTTTCAATTTCTGTACATTTTTCTCCAATGATCATCGTGTTCTAAGTGAATTCTATATCTAGTTTTTATCTATTGATTTGATGATTAGTATTTTTGGTTCGTTTCGTCTGAATTACATTTCAACTAGCAGAGTTTTTAAGATGCATCAAAATTGGTACTTGTTAACGTTTTCTTTGAAACATTTCATCTATAAATATGAAACTCTATGAACTGAAAGAAATGTTATTAGTATTTCTTGACTGTTTTTTTCTCAGTTTGAATCATTTATTTTAGCTGTTAAGATTTGGACATTCATTAGACAATCAAAATAATGTGAATGAGTCTATAAGTGATCGGTTTATAGGCTATATTCATATGTTTCTTAATACCGTGTCACTACTTATTTACTTATTAAAAGCTGACGTATCTGAATCTTTATCACCATCGTCACTATTCTGTCCGTTTAATTCTGACTTACCAACTGGATACATTCTTTCGCCAAGTATTCATATTGATGAATGGACATGGTTATTAGAAAAATGGAAAATAGCATTACAAACATTTCCCATTGAACTAACAAATCAAGGTGCTTTTAGTCGACTTGTTCGTACGACAATTGGTGTTGGTATTTCTCGATTATTTAGCTTTACTATCAATAATGAACAAGAGAGACTCGAAGAGAAACTTTTTCAAGCACTTCAAATGGGTTTTTATTATGGTATTGCGTATGCTCTTGTCGATGGTCTTCAAGATAATCAAAGTCATCATCAAGAACAATTTAATTTTGATCAATGGCTTGAAAAAGCAGAACGTATTTTATGTGGCGAACAATTAAACGCGTCTACACTACCTCAATTACCGATTACTTCACTTTTTCTTGAAACATTTCATAGTCTTGTTCAATTGACATCAATCAATTCAATTACTGAACAAACTTTTACTGATCTGGCTCTACTTCTTCGATCACAAAGATTAGATAAAAAAGATTTAGAAAATCCCAATTACAATGATGTTGATCTCTATCTAGGTCCTCTATTAAAATCACATTATACTTATACAGCAACAGCTTTTATGGGTGGAGCAAATATGATTGAAAATCGCCATCGTTTATGGATGACACCTTTCTTAGGGCAATTAACAGATGATTGTCGTGATTTCAATGAGGATTATGAGACAAAATCAATTACGCCTGTAACATACTTTATTCAACATGATGGTTTATCATTTAATCCATTCTTTGTATTTTTATTTGTTTGCGAAGATCTCTATATAGAAAGTAATCGTCAACAGAATACAGGTGCATTTTTAGGAAGACGAATAATGCGAACATTACGTGCTCTTGGAAATGATTTTCAAAAGTTTCTTACAATTTTTACTGAGCAACCCTATCCTGATTTATATAAGTACATGCTTTCATTAGAAAATTTACTTCAACGTGTTGGCGATCCCGAAAAAGCAATATTTCGCCATGTTAATATATTTGCAAGAAACTATTCTCTAAATAATCGAAAACTTGAAACATTTGCATATGATTGCCTACCTTTAATTGAAGAACAATTATCAATTAAGACAGATGATAATAATTTACTTGTTCATGGTATGAACTATAGTTTAAAAGCCGGTGGAAAACGTTTAAGACCTTTGCTTTTACTTATCGTAGCACAAATCTATAATATTGAAATTAAACGTATATTACCACTTGCTCGAGCCATTGAGTATCTTCACACCAGTAGTTTAATTTTCGATGATCTTCCAGCACAAGACAATGCACCATTACGACGAGGTCAACCAACACTTCATATGCCGATTGAAAGCGATCGTAAAGATATTCCGGCATCATTAGCTGAGGGACGAGCTCAACTTGTAGCTGTAGAACTCATTGCATATGCTATTCAATCAGTTACAGATGATCTTACTCGTGAAAAATTTTCACATGAACTTATAAATCAAGTTATTGCTGAAATAGCACGATCAATGCGTGAACTTTGTAATGGGCAATTTCTTGATTTACAACATTCAAGAACAGATAAATCATTAACAATTGATGATCTTGATCATGTAGCTTACTTAAAAACTGGTAAAGCAATTGAAATTGCAGTTGTTTGTCCTGTTATTCTTGCTCAACAAGGACCATCGTTAGATCGTTTTCGTGAACTTAGTCGATTAATGGGTATTCTATTCCAGATGAGAGATGATTTACTTGATGTTGAAGGTCATACAGATGAACTTGGAAAATTAAAAAATATTGATCAACAAAATAAAACAGTAACTTATATCAGTTTATTAGGCATGAACAAAACACGAAAACGTATTCTAACTATAAGGAAACAAGTAGAATTCATTTTAAATGATCTATGGCCACAATCGGGAACGATGCGAGATCTTATTCAATATATCTGTGAACGAAAAAAATGAGAATTGAAATTATTTTTTATTCAATATTTTATTGTCTATAGAGTAAGAAGGGGCAAATGGCCACTGAAAAAATGACTTTTCATGTGTACAGCTAATATATTTTTTAATTTTGAAGATAAAACAAAATTTGCGCTACCAACATTGTAAAGAAAACATTTTTCTATCGATCTACGTTTTCAGTTTCTCCATATCTTATTGAGAAACTTTCTCACGCCAGTTTTCCCGAGACCTATTTTGATCAGTGCAAACTTCCCCTCAATGGGGTGATTTTGTACTTAACGTATATAGATGGAGTAAATGGGCACTCTCAGCAATTTTCAGTGAGAACAGTAATATCTAATTCCTGTCACCATTTGGGTGTAGTTGTTCTTATGGCACTTCACTTACACAAAAATGTAATTTTTTTTGTTCCTTTTCTCTTGCCTGAATTCTCTCTTTCTATCATGAACACCCATGTCACGAAAAGCGCTCAAAAATCAACGATTTTATCACGATTTGTTAGGCAGATGAATCGTGAGAGGTTATCGGGATATCATCAATGAAGTAGACGATTTTTCTCGATTGTTTTTGCGATTTTTTATACAAAATCGCGATTAATTAACAACGATCCAATCAATATGGATTGGTCACTACAGATCTCTTTAAAAGCTTTTCTCTGTTGTTACTAGTTGTTTATGTAAAGTTCATTCAATCAATTTATTATAATTATTTTCGAAAAATAAAACCAATGTACAATTTTCACATATAAAATACAACATTTCGAAAAACATAGAACAATTGAATTTACAAGAGACAATATGTACGTTATTGACAAACAGAGTTATGTAAATCTTAACATGATCGTCCCAAGACACTTGATCCTGCCTCCGGATCCTGTCGGAGAGGAACTACTAACGGATGCCTAGTGTTGGAATCCGGTGAACATCCGAATTCAATAGGAATGTTAGAAATTGGATTTCAACACCAGAGATTCGTGAGTGGGTCCGCAACCCGGATTTGCTTAGAATCCTGCAGGAGCCGATCGAGTCCGGTTGGATCCAGATATCGAATTGTTCGTCCTGGGTTGTAGAATGACAAAAAAATACAACTTTGAAATCAGACTATCATTCATATTGTAGTTTCTAGATCATATTTTTCTCTCATATCAATCTTATCGAATTCAATCGAGCTTTTAATGAAGTAGATCATTTCACTCACAACAACAATGACGACTTCATTGGAAATTTCGAGCCAATAGCGAAAAGCTTAATCAACATAATACATCTATCATTTGGCTTTGAATTACTACCACGTTTAATAGTACTATAATTGCTGATAGTTTAATTCCTAAATAAATGTCCAAAATATTACCTGAAAAAAAGCTACGATTGAAATAGTGCTTATATATTGAGTTGAGCAAGTTCTAATCAAGCTTTTCATTACTGCAAAAAAGCTGGCAACTCAATCCCTATAGAATTAAAATATGAATCAATATCGACCAGAATATGTTGTAAATAAATGAAGGGATTTTGTAATATATTATGTTTTGTGATTTCCCATATATTGATTTATCCATAATGAAAAAATAAGAGCCTATAACACAAACTCAATGAAGCAAATAGCTATTTCTGTGAAATTCGGTTATTTCTTGTCGAGCGAAAGATTTCTATCTGAAATTTATTCTATAATGATCAATATTTGAGAATACGTTTTAGATGCTACATGTTTTTATTGACTAAAAACGCCAGATATTATACATCAATAGAATTATGAACTTTAATGTTAAGCGTACGAATAATTTTCAACACAACAAAAGTAATTTTTAGACATAATTGTTTGATGATGAAATTTCATTAATGATACATTGCAGATTCAAGTTATTTAAGCACATAAGAATTTCAATTCATGACAAACTGAAACAAGTTTTGAGTAATAATTACTTTTAACTCAAATTGAATATTCCTCTGATGCACATCTTAAAGTTAATATTGATATTAAATTAGCTGATGAGTGACAAAGCCCGCTTGTTGGCTTTTATATTTTACTGCTTATAGCTTTCGATATAATAAACATATACATAGTGCATAAGATAAAACGGACAGATCAATACAAGTTGCAAAAACAGAGATTGTGAATGAATTTAAAAAAAAAATTGAATGACCGCTAAAAATATCCCACTGTTCAGATCGAGAAAGAATTGTAAGAAGAAAAGAAAAAGCTATAATGAAGAAGAAATGAAATCAAGAAACCGATGATGCAGATGATGCGTTTTGTTGAGTATTTAAATTAGTTTGTTTAACAATATTCAGTGCTTGAAGAATAGCTTGTGGATCTTTGCGTGCTTTAGCTGCACAATTTTCTAGTGCATCAGCTGCTTCATATTTTCCTTGACGTCGATATAATAAACTGAGATTTTTCAATGTCGTTGTTACCGTTGGTTGGTCAGATAAAATTGTTTTATACCAGGCACCTTGAGCATCATAATTTTCATTATTTGTTCCACTTTGAGTTTCTTGTTGTTGATTAAGAGAGGAAGGTTTATTTGCAAGTTCTTTTTCTTGTGCTCTTGTTAGTACATCTTTATAAATGACTTCAGCATCTTTATATTTCTGTTGTTTAAGATAAGCTGATGCAAGATTATTTTTAGTTTTGGCTACATTCGGATCATCAATGCCTAATGTTTTTGTGTATATATCAATGGCACGTTTGTAATACGATTCAACGTCATCATATTTTCCTTGATTTTGGCAGAGTAACGCAAGATTATTAAGCTGTTTAGCAACATCAGGATGTAATGCACCGAGACATTTTTCACGTATATCTAATGCACGTTTACATAAAATTTCAGCTTCTTTATATTTATTTCGTTTGCCTAAATTTAAAAAAAAAGAAATTAATAGATAAGTAGTTGAATAAATTGAAGACATACCATAGAGAACAGCTAAATTATTTAACGTCGCGGCTACAGCTGGATGATCAGGTCCAAGTGTTTTTTCACGAATAGCTAGTGCATCATTAAGTAAAGCAGCAGCTTCTTTAAACTTGGATTGATCACGATAAACAAGTGCAAGAATATTTAACATTGTAGCAACATCGGGATCTATATATCAAAAAATCAGAAAGATAAAAAATATTATACACAATCAAAGTTACTATTCTATTTGATAATACAGATTATTTTAATTCACTATAAGACGTATGTCCTAAATCTAAATCTAGAGAAGACACATCTGTTTGTCTCACGAAACAAAAGTCCAATGTGTGGCTCTTCAATCAAAACAATGTTTTATCAAATTAGTATGTGTTGAGAAGATTTAAAGTACTTAATGAGGTTTCCTTGCGATGCATTCTTATTTTTAATCTAGTACTATTTTATTAAACTTTTTATCTCTAGTAAGATAGTTTTTAACTAATCGATTAGAAAAATTTCAACACGAAAAGTTTAGCTTCAATCAAAATGTGAGCTTGCAGAAGTATCGAATCTTCAAAAAAGACTAAACTCTACTCTGATTCCTTGTGATACATGCGCTATTTTAGATTTTCAATATACCAGGAAGTTTCGAACTGCATCTATCAAAATACTCCAAAATAGAACTAAGTAAAATCATTATGTGTTTTGGAAGATTAGCGCATGATAACAAAATTTTACAGGTTTCTTCTTGCTTATGGGATACGAGTCATACTTGGAGGTTTTCTTTTGCTAGTTCATTCAATCGCTAACAAATACGTATTTCATGTCTTTCATGGATAAATTCAACAAGAATTCTAAATAATCTATGTGTAACTTATGGTATATGAGCATAAAGATCATAAGATTAAAAGTTTGAATTATTGTGTTCTGAATAGAAAACATAAAAGCTTAGAATACTATGTTCATGTTTCTTTATGAAAGATGACACTTAAAGTTTGTTAGTTATGTGTGGCGATTATTTCGTAATATGATCACTTAGTTATGTGTATGTGTGTATTTGTCTCTCTCTATCGTCCACTCGATTATAGACTGATGAAAATCTTACGTTGATGACCGGATGTTTTCTCTAAATCTTCAAGTGCTTGTCGACATAACGGTACAGCAACTTCATATCGACCCTGTGATGCATATTGAATAACTAAATTATGTAAAGTTTTTAATCTTGCAGGTATTTCATAGCCAGTCGATGAAATAAATGAGCCACTAGCTGATTGTGATGTTGACGCCATTAAATCAGCATAGGAATCAAATCGTTTCGATTGATTTCCTCCATTTGCACCTTGTTGATCACTATACATATCATCATCATTGGGAAATAAATCGTCAACAACATCTGTTGTTTGTGCTGAAGATATATTTGTTGGTGATGAATTTTTAGTTAATGCTGAATTATTTTCATTCAAATCATATTGTTTAATATCTTTAAGAAATTTTAAATGCTCAAGTTCAACAGAATATCCAGCATTTATTTGTTCACAATCGTGTAGTTTCTTTTGTGATGCTGCTAATTCATCTCTTAACCAAGCATTTTCTTGACATAAACGTTTTACTTGTGAACGTAACTTATGTTTCTCAGCTTCAAGATTTTGCAAATGATTTCCTAATTGCATCATAACTTGAGCTTCACCGATACCTTATATATATTTTTAAAAAAACAGCACTTATACTTACAATACAAATCGTCAAAATGAAATTTACCTAATTCAATCATATCCATAGATTTTCTTAATAGACCAGCTTTTTCTTCGATCTTATTTGCATCCATTGACGATGATTGCTTTGACCCAATAATATTGTCGAGCATTTTACCATGTTCATTTCTTAAGGCTTCAAGTCCTTGGATCACTATTTTTGTTGAATGAAGAACATCTTCTTGACTCATAATCAAAATTTATTTATAATAGGAATGATCAAAGTTAACATACAATTCTAAAATAACGAATAAAAATATAATCAATCTTTCTTTTTTTTTCTCTTTGCCTTTACACAAGGGTATCAATGGCATAGTCTATTTCTCAATAATGACAAACAGAATATTTCACTTTCCTCC